GCTGAGAGTATCAGTTCTCATTAGGTATTTGAGTTATAGTTCGGTTTTTGCTCTTTTTTCTTTCGTTTGGTGTTTTTTGGTTTTGTATGTTTTTTCTAATTTATTTTTAAGTAATGTGTGTGTTTTGCATAGCAGAGTTGAAGTTAAGAGTAGCAATTTACTGTTTTTTTCTTCTAAACCTTTTCTTGCTTAACTTTTAAACAGTTGTTCAATTGAAATACGAATCTCTTGGTGAAAGAGAAAGGGTAGCATTGTCTATGTGCTCAGCATGTCATGTGTAACGATTTGTACTCCCTAAAAGTGCCCTTCTGCTGAGATAAGTTAACCAATAAAACAAACTTTGTTTGCTTTAAAAAGAAACTCCAGTATCTTTCAAATGTGCAGGAGTTTCTTGGACATTTTTGGGATTTTGTTTATTGTGGCATTGTGTCCCCAACCCCCTGTTGCCTCACCTTCCCACAAGGCAGAGATTAAATAGCAGCAGTTTGGGTTGGTGTACAAGTTTCAGGTCCCAGAGGAACACACAATTCTTGTTATCAGAGCTGTCTCTAGAACAGCAATGATATTTCTATTATTATTTTTATTTGTTTTCATTTTCTGTTTAACAGTAAAAAGTGGTCAAATTTCTTCCCTTTGAAGTAAGGTTTATCTTTCTGTTGCTTCATTTTATTTTATTCTGTGTACTCAGTTTTCTCTGATGTTCACAAAAATGTTATGCGTAGACAGATTTTATAAGTGTATCATCTCCATATCCAGGTCAGGAAATTCCAGAAGAAGGGAGAGAAGTAGAGGAATATTCAGAAGAAGAGGAGGAGGAGGAAGAGGACTCAGAGTCTGAAGAGACATCACAACAACAACAGCAGCAGCAGCAGCAGCTCAGTGAGGAGACATTGGCAGAGACTGGGTCATCTACTGCGACTTCCCAGGCGCAGCAGCAGGGTGCACAGGCTGTGCCACCAGCTCAGATACAGGCACCTCCCATGCCTGGGCCTCCTCCGCTGGGACCACCTCCAGCCCCTCCACTGAGGCCCCCAGGCCCACCCACCGGCCTTCCTCCTGGCCCTCCACCAGGTGAGTACTTGAGTTACTCTGCTTTAAGGGGTGCAGGCTCTCAGGCAGTGGTATCAGTTTGGGAGTTTGGAAGCTGCAGAATGTGTTGCAGGTGGAGTATATGTACGCACTTACTGAGACCTGTCTCATCAGTGTGCATCATCCCTGCTGTACCTTGCTTTTGGGGCATCTACCTGTAGCTGTAGCCTTTCTGATGGTTGTCTTTGTTAGAGCCAACACAGGCAGACAGCAGCAGAGCCAGTGTACGAAGTGGAGTAAAAGAGAAAAGGTACTTATTTTTAGGCCAGAAGAAAAATCAAATGCCACAGAAAAAGGTTTTTAGCTGTTTAAAATCTGGCAAACTCAGGTCAGAAGCTGTTGCCAGTTACAACTTAATTATATATATAATTAATTATATATATATATATATATACACAACTTAATTAATTATATGGGGAGGAACCCTTTTTCCATGATACTCTTTACTTTCATAAAGATGCTTTAAGTGTAACTGCTGCCTCTACTTGAGATTTTTAGAAATTCTATTTAATCTGGCAGCTAGGTAATACAGCTTTCATTCATATGTAGAAGAATTTATCCTTAGATGATGAGATAGTTGCTGGGATATGTTTTTAATTCTGAATTAAATTTCTTGTTTGTTACATGAATGCTTTCAGGAGCTCCTCCGTTCCTCAGACCTCCAGGGTTACCAGGGTTGCGTGGGCCTTTGCCTCGACTGCTGCCACCTGGTCCTCCCCCGGGGCGACCACCTGGTCCTCCCCCAGGCCCCCCACCTGGTCTGCCCCCAGGTCCTCCTCCACGTGGTCCTCCTCCTCGTCTGCCCCCTCCTGCCCCACCAGGTAAGGGGTTGTGTTTGTTTCAGTGCCAAGTGCCTTCTTGCTTTCTTTTTGCAGTCTTGGCTGTGGTGATCAAGCCAGTGAGGTATAATTGGCTGCCAGTTTGCCTTTGTTCCAATGTGGCTGCATTGTGCTATGTGTGATTACGTTATTCTGTGCAATAACAAGTAAGTGCTGTGCATAGTTTGGTAGCAAGAAATCTGTCCTCAAAAAGGTAATTCCAGAGTTTAAACTTTTACTCTGCTGCACTCTTTCTGAAGAGCCTCTGGGTGCTGTAATGGTGCTCCGCTAAATTAGTTGGAGATCTGAATATTTATTTTTTGTGCCTGAGTCAGACATTTCTGATGACTCTGAAATTCCAGTGGGGTGGATTGTCAAGAAACTTTATTCTCAGATTATGACTTTAAATTTAAAAAGAAGGAATAACCAAGCTCCTGTGACTTTCAGACTCTAAAAAGCAGCATTTTCAACCTGGCATTTAGTGCAGATTTGAAATTTTTTTTTTCCTAGAAGCCAGTGCTACTTCATCTTGTTGGGGGTTGTTTCCTTTTGCTTTTTTTCTTCTTGGCATTCTGAGCCTGTGCACTTTTTTCCTCAAATATTTTCAAGTTCCCAGATGTGGAAACAGCTCACGCTTTCTTTTCTTCTTGCAGGTATCCCTCCTCCTCGCCCAGGCATGTTACGGCCACCTCTGGTGCCTCCCTTAGGACCTGCCCCACCTGGGCTCTTTCCACCAGCTCCCATTCCAAATCCTGGGGTACTGAGTGCCCCCCCCAGCTTGATTCAACGGCCCAAGGCGGATGACACCAGCGCGGCCACCATCGAGAAGAAAGCCACGGCCACCATCAGTGCCAAGCCGCAGATCACCAACCCCAAGGCGGAGATCACGCGCTTCGTGCCCACTGCCTTGCGAGTGCGCCGCGAGAACAAGGGGGCTTCTGCTGCCTCCCAGAGAAAACAAGAGGATGAGCCTGCCCTCCCGTTAACCAAAGCTGCCCCTAAGGCTGGGTCATCTGCCCCTATCTCTGTACAGACAAAGGATGATGTGTATGAAGCCTTCATGAAAGAAATGGAAGGTCTCCTGTGACCTGTTGTAGTCCTGGTCAGCTCTCCTGCCCCTCTGAATGCGGATCAGATCACTGTGGAGGGAGAAGAAGGGAAAGTCCTCCTGCAAGCAACAAAAGGGCATGACTGGAAATAGTTCCCTACCCACAGGTTAACTTGCCAGTGTGCTGTGAATAGAGACCGCTGCAGCTGAGGTGTGCCTGGGGACCTCCTTTCAGAGCCACCGCATCCACTTGGTGAAAGGAAATTGCAGTAAAGAAGGCGATGCTGCTCCCCTCAAGTCCTCCCCCTTCTTTAGAGGGAGATAATGATATTCTGGGGATGGGGGTGACTATTCCCTGCCAAAATCCTTACACACCCTGAGTGCTCTGGTGAGGGTAGTGGAACAGGTTTTTAAGAAGCCAGAAAAGTGTTAGCAGCATTTCATACACAAATGGTTGTCCAGTTTTTATTTTCTGTACTGTTTTTTTTTTTTCTGTAAATATTTTATAATCATGTTTTTAGTTGCAGTGAGGTTGATCAATCATCTTTCTTCCAGGGTAGTCAGGTAATTTGTTGCGTATACTGTACACTGGAATTTTGCATCCTCTTCCCTTTATGGTCATCTTGGTGGATTTTTATTGGCTGGGGAAACTTCATTTTGTCTTGTGAAAGACAATAAATGTTCAGTGTATCAAAATACCGCTTTCTGTGTGATTTGTGAAAAACTAGCAGGCAGGTGGAGAGGGGGGAGGGTTCTTCGCTTGCCTTGGAAGATGATAGAGGCATTCAGAACCTCAGAAAAGAAAAGTAATAATCACATTATAAATAGTATATACTTACTTTTCCCCACGAAGCTTCTGTTATAGTTTTGTTTTTAAGTTCCTAAACATATCTTTTAACCTTTATTGGTAGCTAGTAAAAACTTAAGTCCTGAAATACTAGTAATAATTACAAACCAATTTATTTTATATACTCTGGGAGATTTGCTTCATATCAAGCCTCAGATAACTACTGGGTGCATCATGGACAGGCTGTCTTAAGTAAAAATTAGTAAGCAATTTTAATGTTAAAAGATTGCCAGATAATTTTAGTTGTGGCTAATAATATTAGGATACCAGACTAGCACGTACCTCAGATAATACATTTAGTTGGCTGTAAGTTTCAGGCTTAGCTGAACGCACCATATTTTGAGGTTAAATCTGCTTTAAGGAGACAAAGTTATTAGCTAACCAAACTTAGACTTGAAACCTTTGAATCTGTTTTCACAAATTCTGGACTCAATTCGACATTCTTGCGCAAGCTATTCTCTATGCCGAGAACATGTAAAATTTACATAAGCCCTCCCACCTAATGCATATTCTCCACCTATCTCATGCATATTGTGTGATGTAACTTTACACAATTCCCGAAACATTAACTTCTTTATTAGGCAATTTCTATTGTGGAAGTTGTCTAATTACATCAGTTATGCTTACCAAAGTTGAGAAGATTCAGCCTGGAGACAGATAATTTAGCTTGAAAACACCAGTATTAGTGATTGTAGCATTACTGAAGTAATTAGTCTCTAGAATCAGAGAAACGTCTTGTATTGAGTCTTCCTGCCTCGTTTCTACACCTATGAGTAGTGCTGGGGTGTAAATGCTACTTCTGAAAATAGCGCTTCTCTTTTATCATAACAATAACACATTTTTAAAGTAGCACAGTAGCAGCACTTGTGAGGGTTAAAATACAGGATTATTTCTGAACGGACAGCGACGGCATTTAGGGGGATTTCCCCAGTTCCAGGCAGGCAGCAGCGCTGCTGTGTTCTCCCCGTCCGGCCGGGCTGCGCTTCCCCGGCGCGCTCCTCGCTTGCGGAGCGGGGGCGGCTCCGCGGGTGGAGTCCTCCGGCGGCTCCCATTGGCCAGATTTGGATCCGCGGCGCCATTGGTCGGAGCGAGCCGGAGCGCGCCGCAGCCAATCAGAGAACCAGCGGGGCGCGCGCCGGAGCTATAAATGCGGCCGCGCGCGGGGCGGAGGGGCACGTGACCGCGTCGGTTGGGGTGGCGGCGGAGCGGCGGCGCGGGGAGCCATGTCCGGGCGCGGGAAGCAGGGCGGCAAGGCGCGCGCCAAGGCCAAGTCGCGCTCGTCGCGGGCCGGGCTGCAGTTCCCCGTGGGCCGCGTGCACCGGCTGCTGCGCAAGGGCAACTACGCGGAGCGCGTGGGCGCCGGCGCGCCGGTGTACCTGGCGGCCGTGCTGGAGTACCTGACGGCCGAGATCCTGGAGCTGGCGGGCAACGCGGCCCGCGACAACAAGAAGACGCGCATCATCCCCCGCCACCTGCAGCTCGCCATCCGCAACGACGAGGAGCTCAACAAGCTGCTGGGCAAGGTGACGATCGCGCAGGGCGGCGTGCTGCCCAACATCCAGGCCGTGCTGCTGCCCAAGAAGACCGACAGCCACAAAGCAAAGAGCAAGTGAAACAAATCCGAGGAGCGTTCCCACCTCAAAAGTAACCCAAAGGCTCTTTTCAGAGCCACCCACTTCGTCATAAAAGGAGCTGTACATCCTAGCAAAAAACGTGCTAAAAACTCCCCTCCGTACCCTCAAAAAAGCAAATAATCCCCTCTCAAACACTCAAGGTCCTTTTAATCTTTGCTCTTGTAAAAAATCGGGAAACGGCCCCAAACACTTTGTATCTTAGCTTTTAAATTGAAATCAAAATTTTGAACAATTACTGTGTAATAAAATACGTCACTTTGTGTTGATGGCGGTTAGAAAGCTTGTTAAGACTATAAAACACACAGCCTCATCGTGCCCTCTCCTTTTTCAGCTCTGTCCTATGTGAAGTTCAGGTAGTTCACTGATGTCTTTATAAACAGCCCTGCCCCCTCTAAAATAATTGGAGACATAGAGGTATTGTTGGAGGGTTTTTGTTTTGGTTTTTTTTTTTGTTTTTTTTTTTTTTTGGTGCCTTGGTTTTGTTATTTTGTATTAAAAGGCATTCCGAGTTACTAATCTTTACTTCTTATTAAAAATCTTTCAGATGTTGAGCCCATTTTCTGCCTCAAATCTGAAGGAGTTTCACAACAATTGTTCATCACAATGCACAGGCAATCTGAGGTGAAAAGGACAGTTGCCAGTTTTGATTCTATCTTACACATAGTTCTTAATATAAACCATAAAATATGTCGAAATAGAAACAGAAAATCTGCTATTATTGGTCAAAAACATATTTTAATAATTTTGAAAGCATAAATTACTTGAATCCTAACATTGCCCAGAGTTTTAGTATCATCAGCAGTTAGAATACCAGAAGGTTAAAAGGTGTTTACAGGCCTTTCTCAAAACAATATAATAACAAACATACTAATAATAATATTAATAAATAAACATATCAGAGACGACTTTTAATTCTTTGTACTCTGAAAAACAATGTGCATTTATTTTTAGTTGAAGTTTGGTCCTGAAAAAGTGCTTCTGAAGACTCTCTCCTCTTGCTTAGCAGCCAACTGTTTCATTACAGCAGATACATCAAGACATGCCATTTTTTGTATTACTCTCAATGTAGGGACCAATCACTGGACATTAAGAAAATGGAATATTTAGAAAATTGCCGTGAAAGAGGAATCCTTACTGATTACTTGAGCAAGTTTTATTATGTTCAAGTAGTGGGAAAATCATCTGCAGCAGTCTCCTTAAACAATGATGACTCAGATTTTTGCCAATCCAGCTGTATCTAAATAAAAACACGGACATGTTATGAAATGATAGGGTACTGGTTATCATTATTAACAAAAATTGGCAATGGAAAGTTTTTATGTCACCTAATTTATTAAGAAAGTAAGTATTTCTGTAGCAGGAGACAAGGGAACCATGTCTGCATTGTGTACACTGAGCAACACAGCACAAACTGCTGTGCTGTAAAAAATTATCTCCTTTGGTGGGACAAAAAGCCCTTCACAGGACTTTAACCTGCTCCTTGCCTTGCTGCATAATGCACTAATTTAATTTCTTTTAATTATTTTGAAAGAGGTAAAGGATTTTGGACAAAGGAGCTAATTTCTAATCCATATTCAGTGCTCAGGATGAGCCTGTGTTACTTACTCCTCTTTGAAATCAAATTGCGACTAAAATACCGATCTAAATCCCTCATTTTCAGTTCAGATTAAGAGAAGACCCTTTAAAGAATATTAATTAATTGCTTTGGAAATCTATTTCCCCACATCGCGGATTTTATTTAGAAGGAAAAACAAAAGTTTCTGTCTCCCGAGGTCTGTTCAGGTCCAGGACTCGGTGTTTATCGCCTCTTTTTTAGCTCACCCGTTGCTTCTCCGAAAGGAAACTTGGCCATGGGGAACAAGAGTCTTTCTTCTCCACGTCGCTGCGAACTGGGGGGGGGTCGGTGGCGGAAATTCTGATAAAAACAGCCGTTTTCGGCTCCTAAGAAACACAAAATGAGCGGGGAGAAGGGACCTTTCTGCCGTGCAGCGGGGCGGGCTCTGCAACGCACCAATCACCGCGCGGCTCCGCTCTATAAATACGAGGCCGCCGACTTGCTCCAGGCCCAGTGCTTCCCCTGGTTCGTGGACGAAGGCCGGCACGATGTCGGAGACCGCCCCTGTTGCCGCTCCCGCTGTCTCTGCTCCCGGCGCCAAGGCCGCCGCCAAGAAGCCGAAGAAGGCGGCGAGCGGCTCCAAAGCCCGCAAGCCCGCGGGGCCCAGCGTCACCGAGCTGATCACCAAGGCCGTGTCCGCCTCCAAGGAGCGCAAGGGGCTCTCCCTCGCCGCGCTCAAGAAGGCGCTGGCCGCCGGCGGCTACGATGTGGAGAAGAACAACAGCCGCATCAAGCTGGGGCTCAAGAGCCTCGTCAGCAAGGGCACCCTGGTGCAGACCAAGGGCACCGGCGCCTCCGGCTCTTTCAAGCTGAACAAGAAGCCGGGGGAGACAAAAGAAAAAGCAACTAAAAAGAAGCCGGCTGCCAAGCCCAAGAAGCCGGCGGCGAAGAAGCCCGCCAGCGCTGCCAAGAAGCCCAAGAAAGCGGCGGCGGTGAAGAAGAGCCCCAAGAAGGCGAAAAAGCCGGCGGCTGCAGCGGCCAAAAAAGCGGCCAAGAGCCCCAAGAAAGCCGCAAAGGCCGGCCGCCCCAAGAAGGCAGCGAAGAGCCCGGCTAAGGCAAAGGCGGTGAAGCCCAAAGCAGCCAAGCCCAAGGCAGCCAAACCCAAAGCGGCCAAGGCAAAGAAGGCGGCGCCTAAAAAGAAGTAAGGTGACTGAGACTAATTGAGAGTCTACTCATTTTAATAAACCCAAAGGCTCTTTTAAGAGCCACCCACTTACTCTCAAAAAGAGCTGAAACACTATGGTCATGCACCAGCAAATCCAAATCACTTACAGATTTCGGAGGGAGTTTTCACGGCGTTAATAAAGTTCAGATTTTGGGTAGAAGTGCGTTCGGTAACGCCTGCATGGGAGATTGGGGCTGCCTTTAAAGGGAAGCGTGTCCTTAGTGCAATTTGGGAGGCCTGCGATAAGAGCTGTGCCCGCCGCGCCCCTTGCTCATTGCCCGGCGCAGCCCCGAGCGAAAGGAGGCGGTGTCGGCGGCCCCGCGCCGCGGCGAGCGCCCTTTGCTCCGGTGCCCGGGGGAGTTTGAAAGAGCCGCGTTGGGCCGCGATTGGCCTCGCCCCGCCCCGCCGGTCCCGCCCTCCGCGGCGGTGACCCCCCCACCCCCCGCGGCCGTGCCCCGCGCTGGCCGGTCGGTGACGCGCGGCGCCGCGGATCGGCCCTCCCTCCCCTGTCTCACGGCTTCGAGCCGGGGGGGGATGGGGGAAGCGGAGAGAGGAATGGAGCGGGGATGGGGAAACGTGCGGGCCGTGCCACGGCCCTGTCCGGCGGCAGCTGCAGCGGAGCTCCGCTGCCGCAGCGGCGCGACGGGGCAGCAAGGGCTGAGGGTCCACGCTCCGATTCTCCCCGGCTCCCAATAAACCTTGCATTGTAAATCACTGATCGCCCCCTTGTTCCGACAGTTACCTCCTACATAACTCTGGGACATTGGGTGTTTTAAACCCGAAACCCCGTCGTTGAGAAAATCTTGTCTTATTGACTTTAGAAACCTGCCACAAAATCAAGCGGCCAAGATGAAACCTTTATTTTACTGCTGTAGTGCACTGAAAGTAAATGCTAGTAAATTTGGTAAAAGGCATTTAACACTTAGAAAATTTTCACAATTTCACCTTTACCACGGGACTTTGAACTGGAAAAGCTGTTGCTGCTTTCAAGCCCCTTTTGAGACGGAACCGGATTAGAGGTTAACAACCAAGTTTATATACCGCACATAGACAAGGTAATCTTAAAAATTTAGTACGTTCATTTAAGCTTGGTAGAGGACACGTCATCTAATAATTAACGTGCAAATATTAAGTATTTACGTACCTCCCCACTAATAGCACTGATTCAGCCCTTTTATTGAAAAATTTGGTGGCTCTTAAAAGAGCCTTTGGGTTATAAGTGACAGTCCGAGACGCCCTACTTGGAGCTGGTGTACTTGGTGACAGCCTTGGTGCCCTCGGACACGGCGTGCTTGGCCAGCTCGCCGGGCAGCAGCAGGCGCACGGCCGTCTGGATCTCCCGCGAGGTGATGGTGGAGCGCTTGTTGTAGTGCGCCAGGCGCGACGCCTCACCCGCGATGCGCTCGAAGATGTCGTTGACGAAAGAGTTCATGATGCCCATGGCCTTGGACGAGATGCCCGTGTCGGGGTGCACCTGCTTCAGCACCTTGTACACGTAGATGGAGTAGCTCTCCTTGCGGCTCTTCTTGCGCTTCTTGTCGCCCTTCTTCTGCGTCTTGGTCACCGCCTTCTTGGAGCCCTTCTTGGGCGCGGGGGCGGACTTGGCCGGCTCGGGCATGGCTGCAGCTGCCTGACTGCTCAGTCACAGCGGAGTGCCGGATAATGCGATTACTCCCGTATTTATAGAGCCCTTATGCAAATCTCCGGTATCAGAAATCAGCACTTCTATTGGACATCTGGCGTAGTGACGTAACACATAGAACGAAGTGCTTTGCTATTGGTTCTTTTCAAACACCACGCTAGGATTGGTCGATGAGCCGAATGCTATCAGCCAATCAGAATGAGCCCTTTCAATCCCAGCCTCCGGTGCCGAAGCTCCGCTGCGGCGCGGCCTCTCCCGGCCCGGGGTCACCGCGGAGCTCGTGTGTGTCCCGCAGCAGGATTCGGAGCAGCAAAACCTAGTTAAGGGCATTTCTAAGGAAAAAAAAAAAAAGAACAACCAAATCAGAAACAAAAAAATTGTTAGTGGTTCTGCTACTCCTTTTTTTCCCCTCCTATTTCCTTTTTTTTTTGTTTTTTTTTTTTTTCCTACAAGAAGGAGCATACCTGGATGCTTCATAGAATAGTCTGCATTTGTAACAGCCACAAGATAAATGTAAAAGGGAAAAAGATGCAAACGAGAAAGATGTGGAGTCTGGAATACAAACACTGCTAATTGTGTTTAGAACTAAACCTTTTGGCCCATAGAGTGTAGTTTATTTTTCATCAACTTCAATGAGATGGAAGCTGTGATTTAATTTGTAACATGAAATGATTTGATTTCTTCTCAGAAGGAATAAATATTGGAAGTATATGTCTAAGTAAAAACCATGGTAACCCTAAAAATTTGATGTGGATTTTATTCGGTAGTTTGAAATTATCATGAACCAGAAAATCAAGCTGTTTTCTTGTTAATATGACATCATTGTTCAAGAAGAAAACATGATTGATGCTATTTCCTTTTGGAAACCTTAAGGACTATCCAAAGACTGGACTTACCTGGTATTGGAGGAGAAAGGTTTCTTGTATAGGCTCAGCCCACCTATCTGGAACAAGTGAAAAAAGAGATCTTAGCAACCTGGTCTTGCTTCTGCTCCTTTTTCCTTTTTACTGTGCTGAGCAAAACCACAGATCCACAAAAATTTCCAGCCTGTATGTAAAATAGTAGTGTCTGAAGGGAAGCAGACAAGGAAAGTGTGAGATATTTTTCCTTCCCAGTGAGAAAGGACTGCTTGAAATTGCTTTTGCTGTACTTTTCTCCTAAACTGTGGAGGCAAAGCAGTGTTGAAAAGAGCAGCTTAATGCTACAATGGTTATCCTGCTGCTCTTTTTTAATACCTGCCCTCTATCTGCAGCCCTGTTGCCTCTCATCCAGAACTGGCATACATGTTGGAGATTTAGATTAATTTCTGAATGTAACTTTATTTTAGTGTGGTGTGATTTTCTATGGGGAATACAGAGAAAAGGAGCAAGAAGCCCCAGGAAACGTTAAAGAATGACTTGTCCATCAAGAGGAGACAGCACATAGCAATAGGGAAAATTACAAATTTACTGATGGTGAGAAACACCTGTCTTGTGGTTGGGATTATTTGGAAAATTTTTAAGTGCATGATGAACCTTAGAATCACATTTGAGAAGCTGGGTTTCAAGGCTGTGGGTAGCTATTGTAGATATTTTAGTTGTTGAGACTGAAATTTTAGGCATAATTGTATGATTTGCTCTGTACTTTGTCACCTGTAGCTGCAAGTTTTCTAGTTTTGTAAATTGTTGAAAGTTGTTATCATCTGAAGACCCTATAACTCTCTGGAGAAACATTAAATATATGTTTCACATTTCAACAGCAATAAATAAGTGTAGTAAGAAAGACTAAGGTGAAAGAAAAGAATAAAGAAGGGGAGGAAAGATATGTCCCATAGACATGGACATTGAAAACTAATAAAGGTGTTTAAGATGATGGAACACATTAAAATGAATGCAGCTGTAGAACAACAGTAAATAAAAAACACTGGTTTGTGTTCAAAAAGTAATATTAAATAAAAAAAAAAAAAAACCAACAGTGAAAGGAATAGTTCAATAGCTATCAGTAAAGAGTGAAACCATGAAAATGACAAACACATGCCACTATTTAAAAGTACATGAAGTGCCATAGGCTTTTGTCATAGGTATAGCAGCAAGAGACATAAATCAGCTTCTTCATTAACACATCAGTCCCATAAACAAAATAAAGTTATGTGATCATTAAGTCAAGGACAGGGGACACACAAAAGAATTCCCCCATGGTGAAAATGTAAAGTGTCACTCTCACAGAGAACAAAACAAACAAACAGAAGCGTAGCACATCACTGCCGTTTCAGACCTCTCGGTAGAAAAAGTTGCATTTACCGTAGAAGCGGGACAGCGGCGCCCACTCTCTCTCCCCTGCCTGCCCGGGCCCTTTGCCGGGGCGCAGCTCGATGGCGGCGGCGGAGCGCGGGAGGAACGCGGCTCTGCCGGCCCCGCCGCCGCCATTGGCCGGGCTTTGCTGCAGCCCCGCGGCCGCCGGAGCCCCGCTCCCTACCGGCACCGAGCGCCCCGCCGGGGGGGCCGGGCAGCCGGGCCGAGAGCGGCGGGAACGGGGGGACCGGGCCGGGACCCGCTCCCGAGCCGAGCCGGGCTTGGCCTCCGGGGCGGGGCCGGTCCTGGCTGGGCGCGGTTTCGGCGGGAGCGATGGCGCCAAAGACCCGGCCCGGGGGGGAAGGGCGCGCGAAGAGCCCGCCCCGGCCCGGCCCCTTGCTGCAGTCCCCAACCAGGTCGGACCGCCGCCCATATAGAGGGGCGCGGGGGAGCTTTTGCTTCATTGCGTTAAGAGTGTAATAGCTGCATCATGTCTGGTCGGGGCAAGGGCGGCAAGGGGCTCGGCAAGGGCGGCGCCAAGCGCCACCGCAAAGTGCTGCGCGACAACATCCAGGGCATCACCAAGCCCGCCATCCGCCGCCTGGCTCGGCGCGGCGGCGTCAAGCGCATCTCGGGGCTCATCTACGAGGAGACGCGCGGCGTGCTCAAGGTCTTCCTGGAGAACGTGATCCGCGACGCCGTCACCTACACGGAGCACGCCAAGAGGAAGACGGTCACGGCCATGGACGTGGTCTACGCCCTTAAGCGCCAGGGTCGCACTCTCTACGGCTTCGGCGGCTAAGCTTAAAATCGTTCAAATTCATACTGTCAGGAACACAAAGGCTCTTTTCAGAGCCACCTACAAATCTCATGAGAAAAGCTGTTGATTACTAATTTGTGTATCAATGTTACTGAGGTTTCTAGAAAACATTAACGTTTCTTATATGATAAGTGTTTACAGGGCTTCGATTAGTGACGGTAAATGCACTAGTAAATGTCCACCCAGTGCAGTTTGCATCACGCGCTGATTTTTTTTCTCAAATATAGGACCCTAATTGCAACTAGGATTGTGCAAATGCAGTGCCTGAGCTCTGGCGGTTACAGAACGGAAGTGCCTAAAATTACGTTGGTGCTTTTTGCTCCAATAGGAATGGAACAATTACAATCCTCTAATTTGCATAACGCCGTTATAAATAGGGGGGCAGGCGCCATTTTCGATGTTGCCGTGCCACAGTGCAGATCCCGAAAGAAAACCTTGAAGATGCCTGAGCCGGCGAAATCTGCTCCGGCACCAAAGAAAGGTTCCAAGAAGGCGGTGACCAAGACGCAGAAGAAAGGGGACAAGAAGCGCAAGAGGGCAAGGAAAGAGAGCTACTCCATCTACGTGTACAAGGTGCTGAAGCAGGTGCACCCCGACACGGGCATCTCGTCCAAGGCCATGAGCATCATGAACTCTTTCGTCAACGACATCTTCGAGCGCATCGCGGGTGAGGCGTCGCGCCTGGCGCACTACAACAAGCGCTCCACCATCACCTCGCGGGAGATCCAGACGGCCGTGCGCCTGCTGCTGCCCGGCGAGCTGGCCAAGCACGCCGTGTCCGAGGGCACCAAGGCTGTCACCAAGTACACCAGCTCCAAGTAAAAGGATAGGGAGTTATAAACCAAACGGCTCTTTTAAGAGCCACCACGCGTTCCTAATAAGAGCTGTGATTGCAAATACGATGTGGGTTGGGTTTTGTGTCATGTGGCTATGACACTAATGCAAGTACAAATATAGTTGAAGGTACGAAATATTATTACACAACTCTTGTGACTTTTTCTTTGCATTACTAACTTGAGTAATTACAAGCTCTGTTTGTGAAATCTGTGTGTGGCTCTGAAAAGAGCCTTTGTGTTCCTGACAGTATGAATTTGAACTATTTTAAGCTTAGCCGCCGAAGCCGTAGAGGGTGCGACCCTGGCGCTTGAGGGCGTAGACCACGTCCATGGCCGTGACCGTCTTCCTCTTGGCGTGCTCCGTGTAGGTGACGGCGTCGCGGATCACGTTCTCCAGGAAGACCTTGAGCACGCCGCGCGTCTCCTCGTAGATGAGCCCCGAGATGCGCTTGACGCCACCGCGCCGAGCCAGGCGGCGGATGGCGGGCTTGGTGATGCCCTGGATGTTGTCGCGCAGCACCTTGCGGTGGCGCTTGGCACCGCCCTTGCCGAGCCCCTTGCCGCCCTTGCCCCGGCCAGACATGCTGCCAAGCCCGACAGCAGCTCCCTGCACACCGCCACCCGCCCTCGGCGTCCCTTTATTACTCAGGAGCCGACCTGGTTGGGGACTGCAGCAAGGGGCGGGGTCTCCCTCTCCGTCCCCACCTTTCTTTCCCGTCTTCCCTCCTCCCCGCGCGGCTCCGCTCGCGCTTCCCGCGGCCGCGGCGCTTTCCCGGCCGCGTCCCGCCCCTCCCGAGCGGGGCCCGCCGCTCTCGGCGCGCCCTTCCCTTCGCTGCTCTCCGCTCCAGTCCCGCTCCACCCCGGCCGTGCCCTCTGCGCGGTGACAGTTCCCCAGGAACTCTGAGTGTCCGCCGGTAGCAGGAGCAGGGATTGCGGCACCCTCTCCCGACACCCCCTTCACCTTCCCCGCTGCCCGCGGGTCTGCGGCAAATTCCTGCCAATGCGGGCACTCGCCCTGCGCTCCCGCCCCGCCTCTCCGCTGCTCTTTGCCCGCTCATCCCGGCGTCTGCTTTTGCTTTGGACGCTTCAAGTCTTCCTTTTTAATTTTTCGGTTATTTGCCTGCATAGACACCTTCCTCGGGAGAATTTATATAATTTCTGACAACAGTGTTGTCTGCGACCTACAGCTTCTTTCTGTTACTACGTTCTTCTTGTTTAAAATAGGGGGAAGGAAACGCTCAAGCCATGTCATGGCTAGAGGATTTTTCTTTTTTTCCTTTTTTTTAATGTAATGTCGAATTTCCTTAGTGAGGATTAAACCGTGAAGAGTTCTGTGCCCTGTGTTTGTTTTACTGGGCTCTGTTTGTTTCCCCGGAAAATCAAGCGCACACATGTGCTAACATGTACATCTTGTCTGTCATACCTTCACCTATCTAGTGTATTTTTGAGCATTTATAGGAAAGCTGAGAGCATAGAGAATTCTAAAAGAAGAGACCATAAGGAAGAAGCCACTGCTTGCAACGACATTTTCTGGGAATGCTTCCTACTATGGAAGTAAGAGACCTGTTCTTGTTCTGCACTGTAATGGAAATGAAAGACTATTTCCAGTTTCTCATGTTAATGTTTGGGTCATCTCCTTGCTAAACATGTGCCATTTAAAATAGGAATGCTACACATATTTTTACAGTCAACACTAAAATACACATCAATGTTCCAGTACCACTAAGTTTACTGGATTAAGGCAGAATTACATAAACTAATAGATTTTTCCTTCCGGACACATATAATATTAAACTAATTTATATTGAGATTAAACTCATTTTCACAATTAAAAAACATTAGCACTTGTGGAGAAATTAAACAGTTGTGGAAAGATATCCAAGAGAAGGAGGAGTAGAATACCATCTCTTTTGCAGCAATAAATACCCGGTAGAGGCTCATGGAGAGTCTCAGGGAGGCTCTGGGGGCTCTGCTTTACATTGCTGAGGGCAGGGGTGAGGGTGTCTCTCCTGTGTAGTTGAGTTCTGAATTTATCCTGGGACAGTTGGGCGAATTTGTTGGAACTTCATATTGTACTTTTAGTTACATTGAAGATGAAAAGTAACTCTTAAACATTATAAATAATCTGTTAGAAAAAAAATAAAACCCCACCCCCTAAACTCATGAGGATAAAAAGTTTTATTACTTGAAAATGTTCTTAAAATACAGCATATACAGGTGCTTGCAAAATACTGTGTATTATGAAATACCTCTATAATGTAGTCTTGCAGCCATGCATTTCAGGGCCATTAAACTAAATGAATTTTATAAGGAGGTTATGAACTTCCTTAAGAATTCTTCCCCTTTAAAAAGATCCCAGTTACAGATCTTTGAAAATGTATAATGACTGCATGTACACATGCATACACACACACACACAATTGTAATTCAGTGCTCACAGCACATAATCAGCATTGAACTCACTTTTCATTTTATTTCTGTGTAGGCTGCACTCGTGCTGCTGCTCTAAGGTGAACTCAAAGTCTGCATGAACCTGCCTAAAAAACCACAAAAAACAGCCAGGACTGGCCTGGAAATGCTGCAAACTCTGCTACAGTTTTCAAGTATTGGATGCAGAGGTGAGGTGACACTTTTTTCTGGAAATATTTCCGTGTTATATTGACCTACACAAATAATACCCAAGGAGCATATGAGTGAAAAATGTTGGCAACCCCTCCATTTTCTTTGGTGTCTGCATATTCATCACTCTTAGACTCTTAAATGCATCTCTTCCGGAGGTGGACTAGTCCATATCCATGTATTCATGTAGTGATCTCCGTTTTTCCCTAACATGTTCCTTTTTCCTAAGAACAAAACAACAACCTGACAGATGAGTCTGCCTGGGACAACTGATAGGAAGATCAAAACTGGCACAAATAAATAAAATAAACATTCAATTTCAGCAAAAAACCAGTATGCTTTATTTAGGGAAAAGAATGGGAAGATAACCTTCCTAAATGTTCTATTTCATAGCATTACTAACTTGAATTGAATCTGTCCCTGTTTGTTGCTCAGAAGTCCTTCAATGTCAGTGTGACAAGGATTTTAACAGAGCTAGTTGCAGCAAAGCACTCAGAAATTCTCAAGTGCTACTTATCATTGCATTAGTGCAGTGGAGATCTTACCTGTTTTTCATATACTATCAGTAGCTGGAATTAATTCAGGAAACCTTCAGACCTCAGCACACTGAATTGGTATCTAAAACACACAAAGATGACTTTTGGGTGTTCCTGAAAAGCTATGTCTCAGAAATACTTTTTGTTTATTTGATTTTGGTTTTTTGTGTCCAACTTTTTTTGTCATGCTTCTTACATAATGCCTTCGGCTATAGATCTTTATGTTCACTACAACATTGGCATGCTGTCCTAAAATCCATGGGATCATATAGAACACTTACAGAAATGTAGATCATGTGCCCTCTGGATCAATTACTTTCCTATTGATGGCATCACAATTTGAAGTTCTTACAGGCCAAAATTTTGTATAGCTTTACAGATCCATCCTGATGGATGAGTGCTATGCTTGGAATAACATAAAACATAAAAAAATCCATATGCAGAGAGAAAGATGATTCTCATAAATGCATCAAATGTGTATGACACTAGATCTTCAGAAATAGCAGGTGATGAGCAAGAATAAATTATAGAGAGAGAAGCAATAAGGACACAGAGGATATATAATCAGGTGTTTTAATATCTTAACTACATTTAACCCCTACATGAGAACAGATGACAGCATAGCAGAGTAAATACTTGGCTGATGCGTAAAGACAATCTGATGAAGCCCATTAAAAAAGTGTCTTCACGTTAATGAACTAAAACCTCACAGTGCTTAAGGGTAAAAGAACATGAAGGGTGGGGAACCAGATATGGAACTGAACATTGTCAATACATGTAAACTTGATAAAGCACCACAGGTGACCCAGATGAGAGAGGTGAGTAGGGAGCAGCATTGGAGCAGGGCCACGCTGCCCTTGCCGTGCCCCAGTGTCCCTGCAGGTGTGGGTTTTGTGACTCTGACACCTTACTCTAAGAGCAGGCTTGGGCTGAGGTTGAAGTACCCAGCACCATGGATGGCCTGAAGAGAAAGGTACAGAGAAAGCAGAGTTGGGGCAGTGCCACACTCACCTTGGCATGTCTTTGGTGGGCAGTGCCCCTGGAGCTTTACACTTTGTGGATCTTTGAACCTGAAGCCAAACCTAACAGCACCTTTAGACTGAGATGCAGGGTACCATGGGTGGCACAGATGACAACACCAGCATGGAGTTGGCAAGGCTGGGGAATGTCTTTTGCCACCCCAGTGTCCCTGGAACTGCAGGATTTGTTTTTCTGATCCCTATTAGTCATCACAGGTTGGGGCTGAGGCCCCCAGCCAGATGGGCTTTTATTGTTTTATGTACAAATGTGTTTAATTCAAACTTGGTTTGCATTGCTTTTATATATTAATGTTCCTTTAGTATGTTGTCCTTTTATTACTAAACCCTGGTATTGCCATAACAGCTTCACTGAGAACAGAGCTTTCCCTCTTGTGTTACTTCATAGTCTTTTTACAGGAAATTTTCATTAACTGTATTCTGCATATTCTCATGATATATCAAGTAGTTTAGCATTAGTGGCTGAGTGGTTGTAGCATTAGGCCACAAGAGCAGACCAAAATAAAAGGTTTTGTTAAAAGCTAATGCTGCTAATGTACCCAAAGTACAATGAAAAAGATAAGGAAGGACCAAGGAATCAGCTCCAAGAATTGAGGTAATGTCAGATTAAAACAAACAAACAAACAAACAAAAAACAAAAACCAAAACACAAAAACCAAACAACTCAAACAACTGATCCGAAGCAACTGATGGGCTTGGGAGTTGAGTGCTGGGTGGCCTGTGGGGGCTGAAGGCTAATTTTTGGTGTAGTGGTCACTCTACAGATCCACCCAACTCAGGCTGTAACTTGAGAACTAATAAAAGACAAATACACTACGATAGTTAATTCAAATGAAAAACTTACTTTTATATGGATATAAAACTGTTCTGATTTTTTCAGAAACTAATAGCTGTCAAGTAGGACTGATTCAAATATTTTTGTTCTAGAAAGATGCTGTCATCAGGCCTTTTATGTATTTGGATGAAATGAAGTATTTCAGCAGAACGTCAGTAGCTATGCTCTATTTTACCCTTTGGACTGATAAGAACATTCTTCCACCAGCTTTCCCTTAGCAGCATTCTTTTATCTCAGGCTCCCCTGCAAAAAGCAAAGAAATGCAGCTGAATGTTGTTGGCACCGGAGGAACCTCCACTTTTATTCTCACTTGGACATGGGGAATCTTACACTACATCACCTGTGTCGACATGCCACCCATTTGATGTGTATTACACACCAAAACTACTTCAGACTCAGGCATTATAATTTAGACTTTATATGAACCCTGAAAAAATAAAAAGCATTGCACATCTTTCTTTGTCAGCTGATGAATTAAGTGGTTTTTTTACTATTCGAGCATGCAACTCTCTCTGAATGCATTCAAATAAAAATTTAGTTAAACTTTTTGAGGTTTTCAAAAGACTAGATGAAAAATGACAAGAGATTAAGGCAAATAAAACCTGTTTCCCTTTTTCATTGCTCAAATATAATTTGCTTCTTGAATATAAAAAAAAAAAAACATCCCAAAACAAAACCCCCCATAATTTCTGATGTTACATTTTGCTGAAATGTAACTACTCTGCCTAGTGGCTTATATAAGATATCAACAAAAATAACAAAAAATTCTAAATAAACTGTTAGAAAAAGCTATTTTACTTGATTTTTTTTTTTTCTTATAAGCATATACAAACAGGTCCAGGTAAACATATCTTTAGCCATCTCAGTAAAATGAAATTAGTGAGCTTTCACTAAAACTCGTTTCTGCAGTCCCGGTGGTAATCTACAGGAAGAAAAAAAAAAATCTGTTTGGAAAAACACAAGTCGTATGTCAACGAACAAATCTGGGGGAATAAATTAACCACAGCAGAGACTTCTTAATTCCCAAAGCACTATTCCCGATGCCTTCCCCCCCCCCCCCCCCTTTAACCCTCCGAGGTTCAGAAACAGAAAATGGCTGAAAGTGAGAAAAACAGAGGAAAGAAAATGGTGTCGAGGCACTTGATTGGTCAGATTTTGCTGCAGAGTCCAAGTTTCTGACACAGAGAAAGAAATACTCTTCAAATGAAGTTTATCGGCAGTTAAGACTAAACTGAGCCTTGCAATCTTAGGCTTTCAAGAAGATATATTTCCTTTAAGCATTTCTCAGTGGCTCCTTATTTCCTGTTCAAATGAAGGCTGTGTCTAACCCAATCCCCCCACTTTGTAAAGCCACGGGTACTCATTTGTAGAAAACCAAAGGGACAGAATTTCCAATAATTCAATGGAACAGCAGGCTCCTCAAATTACATAAAACTACCTGTAGCATTAATATATATAAAGGTGCCGTAAAGTCGGAAATAATTTTAGAAATGTACATTTTTCAGGCAACTACAGATCTATTTACTGGGGGCGGGGGGTGGGGGTGTCTGACTGAATTTACAGTCAGGGAGAAATCAGTTTTCTAGGTAGGTTCATAAAAATCACTGAACACGACGAATAGGGAAGAGTGTCCATTTAGAAATTATTCTAGATTAAGTTTTGAAGCACAGACACTTGGAAAACACTTCGTCTGTGGTAACTTCAATACATCTTTTTGGGAGCCTCAATAACGACAGAGAAGATTAATGCAACCTAAAATCTCTATCCATTAAATATGTCCCACTTGTGGTCCTAGACAAGACACCAGCAAGGAGCACAAGACTTAGGAAAAGGACTCAGAAAACATCCTTGCCTCCACCTTGTATTCCACCCGCTTCTCCACCACTTTTAGAAATGCATTTAACTCGGGAATAGCAGGGCTTGAAATGGGCTGAACAGGCCCGCGGGACGTCGCTCACGACCAGGAAAGTACTGATGGAAAGCGCTTCCAGGGAAGGCGGGAAAGGAGATTTTGCGCTTTCAGACATAAAGTGAGTCCCACAGGCCCTCACAATAAAAAAAAAAAAAAAAAAGTGGGGAGGAGTGAAAGATACAATATTGCTGCTGGTATAATAAAGCAATAAACTGAAAAACGATGAGGTTAAATGAGGGACATAAAGGCAGCACATTTATAATACACAGGAGGCATTTAGAATGCAGTTAATTTCTCCAAACGTGAGAGCAGGATTCTATATAAGTTTCTTCCTTTAAAAATTCGAACACGTCGAACAAATTATTTTAAAACATATGCTAAAAGGTAAAACCCACTAATCTTTAAAAATGGGTGTCTACCCTTTCAGAACAGTTAAGATTATGTTTCCTACGTACCAAAAGATGACCTGTGAAAAAAACATGTAGAAAGCAGTTTATAACCCTAAACGAAAATTTTAGCAACATCACTATTAAAGAATTAACTGCACTACAGTTTGGCAAAACTCAGGATTTGATTCCTATGAAATACGACGCATTCATTGTTTTGTACTTACTTGACGTGAAAGACCTTCTTGACTATAAACACCCCAAAATAGATTCCTTAGGCATAACTAGGAATTACAGCTCCTTAGTGACGTTGTGGTGGCTCTTAAAAGAGCCTTTGGGTTTTCGGTGGTCTGAAACTTCTTTCCGCCAACAGCTTACGCGCGCTCGCCGCGGATGCGGCGGGCCAGCTGGATGTCCTTGGGCATGATGGTGACGCGCTTGGCGTGGATGGCGCACAGGTTGGTGTCCTCGAAGAGCCCCACCAGGTAGGCCTCGCTGGCCTCCTGCAGCGCCATGACGGCCGAGCTCTGGAAGCGCAGGTCGGTCTTGAAGTCCTGCGCGATCTCGCGCACCAGCCGCTGGAAGGGCAGCTTGCGGATCAGCAGCTCCGTGGACTTCTGGTAGCGCCGGATCTCGCGCAGCGCCACCGTGCCGGGCCGGTAGCGGTGCGGCTTCTTGACGCCGCCCGTGGCCGGCGCGCTCTTGCGGGCAGCCTTGGTGGCCAGCTGCTTGCGGGGCGCCTTGCCGCCCGTCGACTTCCGCGCCGTCTGCTTCGTGCGCGCCATCTCCGCAGAACACCCCGCGCTGCCGCACCGAGAACACTGAGCGGGAAGGGGGCCGCAGGGACCGCTATTTATCGCCAGCAGCGCGCTGTGATTGGCCAGCGCGAAGCGACGCAGGCTGCCATTGGACAGAGAGCAGCGTTTGAAACTCCCGCGCGGCGGGGCCGAGCGGGGGAAGGGAGCGGGGGGGAGTCGCCAACCCCCCCCCCCCCCCCCCCCCCCCCCGCCCTCCCCCTGTCCTCTCCACCGGAGCAGTCGCGCTCCCTTCTCTCTTATCCTTCAGCTCAGCCCTGCTGAGCGGGACTGGCGGCGGCCCGGAGCGCTCTCATAGCTGCAGCTCACCGGCAGCCGCGGAGTTTTCACTCAATCTCTGCAGTAGTTGGTTCGCGGCTCTGCCCGGGACGCCAAGATTTTACCCCCTTGTAAGAGGAGTTTACCCAAATACAGCCTTTCCTCCGCATCCCGAGCTAGCTGAGGTTCGTTAAAGCGCTAATCTTTGCTATTTTTTTTCTTGCCTTTTTTTAAAATTTCCATTGAGTCCCTTATATTTATATTTACTTGTAATTTCCTATTGTGTTGTCGCTTAAGGATTTCTTAATTCTGCCGCAGTTCCACTCCGTCGGAGACATTAATGAAGTACACTACTTCTCTATGAAATCTCTAGGAGTAATAAAATTATGTTGTTCTCTATACCATAGTGCATTGAGCGTCTGCCGCTATAGTTTTCATTAAATATCGTCTTTCAGTTATTATAGATTGATCCGGACTCTCCCGGGTAAACAAGCCACTTTGGATTTTGGCCAAGTCACTCTAGAATGACATCTAATTTAAAAGAGAAAACAGTCATTGTGAATAACTAGAACGAATACATTCTCTAAAACGAATAAATAAATCTTTAATAGGTTTAAAACACTTCAGGTACTTAACAGGCTTTTTATAGACCTGCAAGACTAACTGACAGAGCAGGACAGACTAGATGACCCAAATCTTTCCGGATACTCTTAACAGAATAAACATTTTCTCTCTAATGTTTCAACGGCATGTTCTGACCTAGGGACTAAAACATTTCCAGGTATAAGCACCACTCACCGAAATAAAATAGTGATCGACTCTTTTACTGAATATATGGGTGGCTCTTAAAAGAGCCTTTGGGTTAAGAGTGACGGTCCGAGACGCCCTACTTGGAGCTGGTGTACTTGGTGACAGCCTTGGTGCCCTCGGACACGGCGTGCTTGGCCAGCTCGCCGGGCAGCAGCAGGCGCACGGCCGTCTGGATCTCCCGCGAGGTGATGGTGGAGCGCTTGTTGTAGTGCGCCAGGCGCGACGCCTCACCCGCGATGCGCTCGAAGATGTCGTTGACGAAGGAGTTCATGATGCCCATGGCCTTGGACGAGATGCCCGTGTCGGGGTGCACCTGCTTCAGCACCTTGTACACGTAGATGGAGTAGCTCTCTTTCCTAGTCTTTCTACGCTTCTTATCCCCTTTCTTCTGAGTCTTGGTGACAGCTTTCTTGGAGCCCTTCTTGGGAGCAGGAGCGGATTTCGCTGGTTCAGGCATTTTACGGATCTGTCTACACCTGGCTACCGCAGGAACGACGTAGATACAAAAGCGGAGCTCCCCTTATTTATAGAGGCGGTATGCAAATGAGATGACTCAACGCTTTCCTTGTCAATTGGACAGCTCGGGTCCGTGACGTCAAATACATGGCATCTTCCATTGGTCGACTTTCCTATCTGCATTTCTATTGGACAAATTCACAATCCCTCTCTCCACCAATCACAAGTCCAAGCGAACCTCATCAGGAAGGTATAAAAAGGCAGCGTCTAAGCTTGCCGTGCATTTATTTTCTTTCCCGGCAGCTTTTGCTTTCCGCGCAGCTTTTTCACGTACTCGGCTCTATCTTATCTAAATTTTGAGCCATGTCCGGGCGCGGGAAGCAGGGCGGCAAGGCGCGCGCCAAGGCCAAGTCGCGCTCGTCGCGGGCCGGGCTGCAGTTCCCCGTGGGCCGCGTGCACCGGCTGCTGCGCAAGGGCAACTACGCGGAGCGCGTGGGCGCCGGCGCGCCGGTGTACCTGGCGGCCGTGCTGGAGTACCTGACGGCCGAGATCCTGGAGCTGGCGGGCAACGCGGCCCGCGACAACAAGAAGACGCGCATCATCCCCCGCCACCTGCAGCTCGCCATCCGCAACGACGAGGAGCTCAACAAGCTGCTGGGCAAGGTGACGATCGCGCAGGGCGGCGTGCTGCCCAACATCCAGGCCGTGCTGCTGCCCAAGAAGACCGACAGCCACAAGGCTAAAGCCAAGTAAATCTCATCTGGCAACCAACCCAAAGGCTCTTTTCAGAGCCACCCACATCTTCTAGAAAGAGCAGGAACGCTTGACCCTAGGAATACGTGTTATATTAATAAACCGGGAAACTTGAAATCTTTCGGGGTGGCATCTAAAATATTAAGTATCTTTGGGTTCTGCCTTGCTGATGTGTAGCTTTCTCCCTTCTTTATCCTAGAAGTGAAAGTACTTATGTAAGCGGGCGTTGCTTTCCCTTTTAAAAAATCAATAAAAGGTAGCGGCTGCGACTGATGAAATCAGTCACCGCTGTATGGTTTAAGAAGAGATGTGGATTCTGCAAGGCTGTGCTCGCTGCCTCCCTCCCGGCGAACTCCGCGGGGGTGAGATGCCGATGCCTGGGGGCGGAAGGACGGGGCGGGCTCGGGGCGCCGCCGGCCAATCCGGCCGAAACGCGCGGCTTTCAAACCGCGGGGGCTGCGGGCCCTCCCCTGCCTGCGAGCCGCCCCTGTCCCTCCGCTGGGGCTGAAGAGGGATTCGAGTGCCTTCTGCGAAGTGTTTGCTGCGGTTTTCTGCTTTCTGTGGTTCTCTTTTTTCTTGTTTGCTCCTTCAAGCTTTTAGGCAATAGGAGGATAACAGTAAGTACTTCCCTGGGGCGCAGTCCAGGAGGGGTTCCAAAAGGTAGCATCAGGTATTCTGAATTAAGTGAGGGGTGATGACAGCTGCAGAATTGGCTCGGGTGTAAGTTCGTGTAGAAGCCCTACGGAAAGTCACATAAACAGGAAGGGAGTCATGATGTACTAGTCTGGGCTTGAACTGATGCTTTAATTGTTCTTCATTCTGGCAGCATGAGTGGTGCTTAAAAGTGCTCTTGGCGTTTTTCTGCAAAAGTTTCCTTTACTTAAAAATTATGGTTTCCTGCATAGTGCTGCCTTTGGCTTCGTTGAGCTCTTTGGTATCACTTTTTGGATTTGGTAGCCCTAGTTGTCTTTTTTGGGGCCCTCGGTTGCTATGACTGCCAGGGCCCGCTTGACTGCGGGAGCCCATTGCACCCCGAGAGGAAGGGCACGGCCTTGGCGATGTGAAAGTTGTGGTCTTTGAAGCCGCCAGCCTCTGCATCCCTCTTCTTGGGGTGTCAGGGGCTCATAAATCCCGGTAATACGCCAGGGATTGGGAATTACAGGGAGGAGCTTCTCCGCCATTGCTGCCTCGAGGCGGCCGCGCTGCTGGGAAGCGGCGGCTCCTCTCTCCTCTTTCCTCCGAACAGGTTAATTTTGGGTGTTTTTTTTTTGTTTGTTTTTTTTTTGGTTTTTTTTTTTTTTTTGTTCCTACTGTAAATAACACCGCGCTCCCTCCTTTGTTAGAATGGTTGTAGGTAAATGACGCTTTCGTTTGTTTTTGTTTTTCGTTCAGTAATGTTTCATGCGGAAGGCCGCCCCAAGGGAAGGCAGGAATGCAGCGCCGGGAGCCTCCCAGTGAGACTGTGTAAGGGTTGGGGACGGGTTTTCTTTATTCTTTTAATCGTCCCTCGAGAACTGAGGCGAGGAAAACTCTGCTTTTTGGGGTTTGGTGAGTTTTTGGGTTTTTTCCCCACCCTTATGTTTCTATTTTTTCTTTAGTTTTTTTTTTTCTTCGGTGTTCTGCCTCAGGAGTCGGAGGGGTGAGTCACTGGGGCGTTGTGTTAATGGAAAATGTTTTTCAAGCAGAGGGAGATAACGTGGGAGTGCCCGGCTGAAATCTTGCTTGGAGACAAGATAAGAATCGTGGGTCTGTTTCTAAGCGGTATATAATTCTTAAACAATTTTCAGGTTGAGTTGTTTTCCTTTGCTTGTTTTTTTTTTTTGTGTGTTTTTTTTGTTTGTGTTTTTATGGCGTTTTGGTTTGTTTGATGGGTTTTTTCCATATTTATTATTTTGGCTTTCCCTTTGCTTTCCCAAAATAGGCAGAGGACTTTTTTTTTTTTCCCCTGCCTTTTTAAAATAATCTCTGTTCTGCTGGAAGAAATTGCATTAGATATTAATCATCTACCATTCAGAGCTGGACTTTGAAAGAGCAGTCACTGCAGGACTTTATTAGTAACCATTCTGAAATTTGAGGCTGGGATTAGGTTTATCTACTTCAGGATTTTTTGTTTGTTTGTTTCATAATCTCAATTTTGCTGTATTTTGCATATTTGGCAAAATGACCTTGCATTGGTGTATATTTAGTAGAGAAGAAAGAGATTATGTGGGCCTGGAGAAAGGAATTGATTTGTACAGGGTTCTGATTGGGCCATTTGAAAATCCTGAAACAGAGGCCTCCCGGCTTTCATTTTTGCCCTTGAAAACACGGTATGAGGAGGGAGCATTTCTCTTCAAGAGTAATGTTCATATTTCCTTCTCAGGCACTTCAGTATTTATGTTCTGCTTCTCTTGGAAATTGTTTGTTTTGGTTTTGTTGGGGTTTTTTTCCATATTCCCGCCCTACCTCCCCCCCTTCCCCCCACAGTTTTTAAAACTGATGATGTTTTAAAAATCATTTGAAAAAACACGTATTTTAACAGTTTTCTAATAAGATATGGGTAGATTGAAATCTAGTCTGAAGTTTGTTTTGTTTTTCTATAATGTTCCTCACTAAAAACTCGTTAAGCTCAGTATTGCAATTAAGTTCACAATTTTCTAGCTATGTTTCCTCCTTGAGACAGCTCATGTAATGAGCTGAGTTTCCTTAGATACAGATTTTAAAATATCATTGCATTCTCTATGCCACTGACAGGATTTTCATGATGGGTTTAAGTATATTTTTGTAAGTACAGGAGATTTGATGAGTTCTGTATGCTAAATTATCTTTTTCTTCAGCTAAATTATGCCTGGAATCTTCTCATATAATTACTGCATATCTGTGCTTCTCCTGACCAGTCATGCCCAATTAATGTAGAAAGGCAATATGTTCTTCTACCTTGGGTAACTGCTTGTTAAAAATGAATATATTTTCTGTTTGCATATCACAGTTAAATGAAAGTTTTTTATATATGAAAATAAAAGAGAGAAATGTATTATATGACCTCTTTGAGTATGGGACAAATGGAGGTTAAAAGTGATGGTTTTTTGAAAGCACAATATTTTATTTCATTGAAGATGTGGAATTTCCCTTCCTAAATATAGTTTCATCTATCTAGCCACTCTAAATTCTCAAAAAGGAGGAAGGCTTTAGATTTAAGAACACTGCATCACAGATGTTTTGGTCATGAAATGAACACTTACTATCGTATGATGCTAATTTACATTTGAATTTTAATTCCACACAGAAGATATCCTTATGCTGAAAGTACTGATTGTAATGTATGTAGTGTAATCTCTCTAATTCCTTGCTCCCAAGTAAAGTTACTTAACCTGTAGTTACCCAATAGCTTTTTGTTTTTCCATAAAGCATGGAGAGATAATGTGCAAGACAATATTTAAAAATAAAACAAATCAAAATCAGAATGAAACTATGCTCAGTTGCAGAAACATTCAGAATGATGCTGAGAATCAAGTTTTAAAAAGTGACATTAAGAAGAACATTTACAGAAAAAGTCCTTGGATAATAATTTCCTTCCGAACATCTTATTTGTGCTGTTTTGGTTTTGTTTTGGATGGTTTTGAGGTTTTTTTTTGTTTGTTTTATAAAAAGACTGTCTGTGTTTGATTTTTGTCTAGTGACCATGATTGATATTGAGGACAGGATAGGAATACAGTTCGAAATCCCTTGGTAGTAAGCAGTCTTCCAAAGTCTTAGAGGAAGATGTGATTTTATTTTTTTTTTTATGAGAATTTGCTTTAGGCTAGACATTTTATCAATGATGTAGGCAAACTAGAGTGTTTACCTAGACCAAACGTGAATGGAATTAATTGCCTGATACCAATGCTATTCCCACAGTGCTCCAGGCTCTTCCTTGTAAAACTTAAATGAGCATCACATAGTCTCTGCAAATGTTAAACTTTTATAGTTCTTTTATTAAATTACTCTCAAATTCCTTCACTCAAATTTTTAGTTTCTTTAGTATCTTTCTGCAGTCTTAGACAGCATACCAAAATAAAATACAGTTGGAACATCTTACAAATCTGGTGTTATTCTATCTAAACAATTTGAATAATAACCATTAGTAATTTACTTTTCTTAAACACTTAAACCCAGACCTGCTTAGACATCAAAAGTACTTAAAGAATAAGTTACTGTTTATTTGTCTAAAATACAGAGTACAAGCTCAGTTTAGACTTTGGTGAACATGTATGACATTGACTGCTCTCCATGCAGGCAGTTTTGAAGGCATTGATGCTGACGCTCGGGACGTTTGCGTGCGGCTGGAAGCCAATTGCAGCTTCTGCTGCTGCAGAAACGCAGCAGAAAACTGCGTCAGCTTGCAGGTCACAAACAATGCTCTGAGCGTGTCTGGTAACAACGGGAAAGCGGATTGCCGCGCACCGCAGCTAAACCCTTGTGTGTCTTTGCCTCTTGTGAGCTCCCTGTCATTGCCGTGTGATGCAGGGGGTGCTCCATCGCTCTGGGGCGTTCTCCCGAACCCGAATCGCAGCTCGGCTCGGCAGCCCGGCGGGGAGCGGGGCCGCAGGCACCACCCGCCTGGGCTGCAGCAATTTCCAACCAATCCTGCCCGGGAAGCAGCTTCCCTCCCTCCCTCCCTCCTCCTCCCTCTCCCTCCCCCATCCCTTCCCTTCCATCTCCCTGTGGTCGCCTTCCTTCCCTGCCGCCGCTTCCCGTCCTCCCGCCAGCCCCCAGTGGTTTTCCCTTCCTTAGCCCGCAGCCAGTGGCGATGAATGCGCTGGCCCACGCCGCGATGGGTGACGAGCATCCCGCTCTGGCTGCTGGTGAAACCAGCTTGTGTTTTGGATGTTTCTAGTGTTCCTTTTACCAACTGCTTTGTGGTTTTTGACTGCCGTTTATTTATACCGTGGCTACTGCCCAGGCTAAGGGGGAAGGAAAAAAAACCAAACAAACTAAACCCTAAACAACTCACCACAAAACCAAAACAACCCAAGGAGCAGTTGGGGTGCTCCAGCTTGCTCTGTTACAACCTATTACTTTGGTTCTGCAGGCTTCAAAGGTGAGAAAGCAATGGATCATTCTACATGATAAAATACGTGTATCAGGAGCCCCTGATCATTGCATCCTTCCCCTCCCCTTATCCAGTCCATCCTAGAAGACTCGATGCAGGTAAAGAAACAAGCCTGCCATAGTAACAAGGCCAATGCAAATAAACCTTTTTTCCTCTCCAGGAGGCACCTCTGTGTATCATCTTTGAGAAATTGATTGTTTCAGGCTTCTCTGCACTCTGTGTACAATTGATATTTATTTTCCCTTTTCAAATAGAAAACAAGGCCTCTTCCTATAGAAGCTACAAGTTTCTCCTGTCATGGGATTCCTCTATGGCCTTCACAAGTAGTTTCTGAGAGAATAATGAGAATACCAGCACAAACCAGGGTGCTAGAAACTTGGAAGCCCAGGGAAAAAAAAAAAAAAAAAGAACAGAAGTAGTTAAGCACTTGAACAGGAGGTTTTTTGAAGGTAAGTTTTTTGACTGTTGGTTTGGTTTTGTGTTTTGGCCAGGGTTGTGGGGACAGGAAGGGTAGAATCAGCTTTTTGTTCGGGACTGTTTTGTTTTTTGTTTTTTTTTTTTTTTTTTTTTGAGGAGGGGATCTGTTTGTTTTTTTTTTGGTTGTTGTTGTTTTTGTGGGTGTTTTTTTTTGTTGTTGTTGTTTTTGTGGTTTTTTTGGTGTTTTACGTTGTGGAAAAACCAAACTTCATTCTCAGGACATGCATGTAATTAAATGGATCAGTTTATGAACTATTTACCACCAGTGCTAGGGCTTGTGCAAGCAGCTATGTAGCTCAGATTTGGTTTCTGTGAGGAGAGAGATGGCACCAGTTTCTTCTTTCCACACATCATCTTTCTTTCTTCTCTCTGATTTCAAAAAAGCCTTTAGAGTAAGGATCTATTTACTTTAAAAAAAGTGCCTATGGAATTTAGACAGCATTTCTGATATCAGAAACCTTTTGGTTGTTACTAATTTTATTATTTGATTGGACTACAAAGTTTGATAGATTTAACCACTGACCTCCTTGGTAGTAAAGATAAGCAAGAACATCTTCAGTCAGTAGTGGTCATTGTTCTGAAGGTGTCCTAGTATGGTTAGTAGAAAAGCCATTTTAAGCATTAAATCAGTTTTATCGCTTTTCTCAGAAATTTCTTTACCTCTTGCAATAGTTTATTCATTTAGAGGCCAGAAATGTGCACACACACACCCAGAAATGTGCTGGGTGGAACTATTTCACAAAATGCTACAATTGTACAAAGATACAAAATCCTGTTTTATTCTCTGTTTCTTGTCTGGTGATTCTAGACATTCAAGTAACTTTCATTGTAATTCTTCTGAGCATTGAACACATTTGTTTTATTTGTGGTTTTCAAATGTAGGAAGTTTTTTTTTAAATTAGGATCAAACTGGAAGGTGCAGTAAAGGTGGAAAAATGTGAGAGGCCATTCTGAAGAGCGAGTTAGGAATCAGGCACAAGAGAAGGACAGGCAATGAAATTGAAAACTATGGTTGAAAAAAAGTAAATAAATTAAAATTCTATTGTTATTTAATGACACCCAAAACACCTAGAGAGCCCAAGATATTAATGCTATACAGGTCATGGCAAGTTCCGTGTTGCATATCAGGAAACCAAAGATTTATTTTGTTCCTCACCAAAAGGATAGTTGGATTTGCCATTCGATCACCCAAATTATTATGACCCAGAAGTCCAAGTCCACGTCTATAGGCAGTGAAATTCCCATTAGTCTGTGTGTGTGTGTGTAGATTGCTAATTGCCAAAGGACCTTGTAGCCACAAGAAGTTCATACAGAATAGAAACAGCAGTGGATAGTGTTAATAAGATCAAAATTTAATTACTATATTTAAACAGAAAAAGGAACAAGCATGAAAAATGTTATTACCTTGTAATATGTAAGCACCATGGCTAAAAACTACATATATTATCTTAATGTAATTTTGAATGCTCTGTCAGAGGTGGACTCTGCTGTGACTGGACAGGAGCTACCATGATCCATGCTGGTGTCCAGCTTCCAGCTAGAGAAGTGCAACTCTAAGTACATCAGCTCTGGCCTGAGCACACGCTGCAGGTAACTGTGTTAGCCTGGAGACCGAGGCACAGCCAGGAGAAATCCTGCTGTGCCCTGGGGCAGACAGACAGCCCCACTGGGACACTAACCCAGGTTCATCAGATTAGTCCAGGTGAATGAGAACAAAAATTAGGATGAAGCTGACCAAACTTCAGAGAGTCTGGCAGTAATTTAGTTGCACACTGAGGTGTGAAAGGGGTGATAGGGTGATACTCCATTATTATGTGGGGATAACCACTGGCCATGCTGACACAGGCAGTGCAGGGATTGACAGCTTGGAGTCTCCATGTCAGTAGGCCGCACAAAGCCTTTCTTTTGCTTGTACAAAATTAACTTTCAAAAATATTTTCTTTTCCTCCCAGTGGAATAAGACAAGTTATGTAATATCTAGTCATGTTGGTCATCACTCTTGGTAAAAATCCGTCTCTATTTTTAGCTGGGCTTCTACATTTCATCTGATAGTGCTCTGGGATGCTCATCTCCCTAGGAAGATGATGCAACAAAAGATTATTCCTTTCCCTCACAAATGCTTCATCTAAATAAAGTAGCACTATCATAAGCTTTTGCTTTAGGAGATGAACCAAATCTGTATCTCCAATTTTCAGTATTTCCATCAGGATACTTTTAGCTGATTTAAAAAGCAAACCATAGAGACTTTCTAAGTTAATATTAATTCTCCTAAGGAATAGAAACTACATGTGCTGGCAGGTCCACTGAGAGATCAGCAACTCCTTCCACTCAGCTAACAGCTTTCCTGAAAAGAAAAGCAGATCAATAAAGAGAAAACAAATTTGAAAATCACATTATTTCAACAGCCTCCTCAAGGGGATGGTTGTCTTTTGGGATGGACAGGAGTGTTGGGAGGAATGTCAGGTTGAGAGATTGAAAGCAGATGCAGAGGGGAAGAGAAGTGCTAAATTGCTGACACTCCTAGAGCGAGCAAAGAAGTGGAGTCATTGTCCCACTCATTCCTGCCATCCCCAGCCTGTTCCTGCACTCCAGCACTCCCTGACTGCCTGCCCACATCACGGGAGGTAGCTCAGGCTCTTCCAACTAATGCTGCCCATCTGGAAAAGGTTTTGCCCATGCTTTTCTCCCATTGTCTTGATAAACAGGAAAAGATGGATGGATGGATGGATGGATGGATGGATGGACAGATAAAAATTTGTAGTCTGTATACTCACCTGTTGGTTCTGAGTAAAACAATAATGCATGTAGATGAACCACCAGGAGTGAAGGATGAACACTGGACATTAAACATGAGACTGGCCATTAAATAAAAGATGTCATATAGGAAATGAAGTGTTATTTCAGAATTCAGTGAATTCAGATTGCTTAGAACTCTTTTTTTCTTTTCCATAGCATTGAAAGGTTTGCATTCCTGTAAACAGGTTGTTTGCTCTTCCTTTTGGTTTAATTTTGTCTATCTTCAGAAGTGTTCTAATACTTCAATAATATACACACTGCTACTTTATACCCACAGATGCTGGTAAGAAGTTTAGAAAAGTAACACACAAATAAATTTTCTAAATTAAAACCAAGAAAATTAAGCTACGTGACGTGGAAAAGATAAATTTGCATAAGCATTACATGGACAACCTTGAAATATAGAATATTTCCTCAAATAACCCAAGCACACTGTAATGCACTAATCTATTTTATGTATTTGTATGCTGCTGTCATATCTACAAGGATTCTATGTAAATTTTTCCATAATAAAAATTTATTCTATATAGTCTGTGGTATTTATTCTTTGAAGTTAAGGTATTGCTTAGGAGCAAATTACACTGACACCTGTTGTAGTTCTTCACTGGAGTTTGTCTTAAGAATGCTTAAATAGTAATGGACCCTGGATAATTATAAAAATTTTATTATTTAAGGAGGTCTAATATAGAGAAGATCAATAAAAAATGACTTAAAGCAAAGGCTAAATTTAAGGGAAAAAATATTAACTGTACAGTAAGCGCCACACAAAGAGATCTAGTGAACCAAAAATCATCAAGAAATGGATCTTAAAGGAGATTGCAACTTTTTGATAAAAAGCCAGTTAACACTGGGCAAGGGAGGTGAACCAGGCATTTTGCAAGGCAGAATAACTATAATCATTAAACTACATAAATAAAATAAAATTATTTAATTGAATAATCTGCAAGAATATTAGCATCTATACATTTGAAATGAAATTAAAGCAAAGCCATAGAGATGACTTGCCAAAAATAACCTGATTAAAACTAAATGTGACACATGAAAAGGGAAAAATAATTCTTATAGGAGTCCTGAGGAGACCAAAATAGGTCATCTGAATATAGATAAATAGAGAGAATGCCACCACTCACCACTGCCAAGGAAAGGTAATAGATATCAAATACCAAGCGCAGTAATAGGCAGGGAAGAATGTGTTTTATACTTATGCAGAAGTTTTACTGAGTTCTCTGTTGTGTACTATCTATGTTATAGCCCATAAATGTGGTGGCAGCAGGGGAAAGACTGCATATAAATATTTGGGTTTTTTTCCTTGAGTAAGTGCAATGATAAATAATGTTCAGACAGTGATTCTAAATGTGTTGGTTTTGGCTGGGTTGGAGTGCATTTTCCTCACAGTGTATGCATGTGTGTAGGGGCGAGGTTTAGATTTTGTGCTGAGGACCACGTTGATAATATAGTGATATTTCTGTTGCTGCTGAGCAGGGCTCACACAGAGCCAAAGCCTTTTCTGCTTTTCGTGCTGCCACAACAGGGAAGGAAGTTTGGGATGCTGGGGAGATTGTAAGAAGACACAGCCACAACAGGTAATCCCAACTGACCAAAGGGATGTTCCAGACCTGATCACTTGATGCTCAGTATGTAAAACTGGGGGAAGGAAGGAGGAAGGGCAAGGCATTTGGAGTGATGGCATTTATCTTCCCCAGTAAGCATTACAGTGACTGGGCCTCGTTCTCCCAGAGATGGCTGAACACCTGCCTGCCCATGGGAAGTGCTGAATAAATTCTTTGTTTTGGTTTGGTTTTCTTGTGTGTGAGTGCAGCTTTTGCTTTCTCTATTAAACTGTCTTCATGTCAACCCATGAGTTTTCTTGCTTTTACCCTTTTGATTCTCTCCCCAGTCCCACTGGTGGAGGAATGAGCAACTGCCTGTGTGGCTTTTGGTTGCTGGCTGGGGTTAGACAATTACAACTGGAAGTTTCATCTGTCCTAAGAGCATCATCAATCTTGATATGCAAAGATAAATATGTATTTCTTATATCTGTAGAACAAATAATTTGATATTAATAGGTTTAAACTGATGTAAACACTGGCCAGCTATCTACACATAAAAATACATATCAGGGTGGTGGCCAAGCATAACCTGTATTTAAAAAAAATACATACAAAAGGTCTACAGAGAGAGAAAGAGAACTTTTGAGAAAAGGTGGTGAAAAAGGACAAAAAAACCCAAAAACCAACAAAACAGTGATGGCTAAAATGCAAAAATGTGCAAAATTACCACACAAAACTTTTTCACATTCAAGCATTGCATAGTGATAGGCATCCATTGGAAAGAGGGAAAAGATGGGGAGGATCATAGAAATTGAGAAATACCTGGCCAGCAAAAAACCCCCAAACCTGTGCATTGCACAGGTAGAATTAACCAGAGGATAACCCCTGCCAAGAAAGATTGTATATAGCAACTGTATGGGACAGCATTTATTTGATGATCCTTCCAGAACAAAGTAAAAATACCTGAAATATATATTCATAGTAAATTTAAATAATAACTCAGACAGAAAAAATAAAAGTAGGTGTGTGCATGCAAAGCTTGAAGGCTTTCAGGAGTCACTGCAGCAGAACGGGCTCATGGAGCCAACAGAAAACCCAGCACAAAATAACACCTCCAGACCATGTTTAGTGTTCAGAAAGTTATAAATTGTGAAGAAAAGAAAGTAATGCTTTATTACGTTTCAATAAAGAATAGGATCATTAAAATTACCAAACACTTCCAACATTTTTAAAAGCACAGATATAATACAGATTTTTCCATGGGTACGTCACTAAGAGACATTGATCAGTTCATCCATTAGCACGCCAGTCCCATAAACACAACGAAGCCACATGATCATTAAGCCTTAGATGGGGAACACACAAAGCTTCCCTACAAAGCAACAAAAAAAAGGTCTCCCTCAAAAAGGAAAAAAAGAAAAATCGCAGCACATTACACGCCTTTCTCAGGTTTCAGTAGAAAAAGTTGCATTTACCGTAGAAGCGGGACAGCGGCGCCCACTCTCTCTCCCCTGCCCGCCCGGGCCCTTTGCTGGGGCGCAGCTCGATGGCGGCGGCGGAGCGCGGGAGGGAGGCGGCTCTGCAGCCCCGCCGCCGCCATTGGTCGGGCTTTGCTGCAGCCCCGCGGCCGCCGGGGCCCCGCTCCCTACGGGCACCGCGAGCCCCGCCGGCAAGGCAGGGCAGCCGGGCCGAGCGCGGCGGGCACGGGGGGACCCGGCCGGGACCCGCTCCCGAGCCGAGCCGGATTTGGCCTCCGGGGCGGGGCCGGGCCGAGCCGGGAGCGGCTCCGGCGGGAGCGATGGCGCCAAAGACCCGGCCCGGGGGGGAAGGGCGCGCGAAGAGCCCGCCCCGGCCCGGCCCCTTGCTGCAGTCCCCAACCAGGTCGGACCGCCGCCCATATAATAAGCCGAAAGGCCGTTTCCAGCGCGTAGAGTTGCGGGCTGTGAGTGTTGCATCATGTCTGGCCGGGGCAAGGGCGGCAAGGGGCTCGGCAAGGGCGGCGCCAAGCGCCACCGCAAGGTGCTGCGCGACAACATCCAGGGCATCACCAAGCCCGCCATCCGCCGCCTGGCTCGGCGCGGCGGCGTCAAGCGCATCTCGGGGCTCATCTACGAGGAGACGCGCGGCGTGCTCAAGGTCTTCCTGGAGAACGTGATCCGCGACGCCGTCACCTACACGGAGCACGCCAAGAGGAAGACGGTCACGGCCATGGACGTGGTCTACGCCCTTAAGCGCCAGGGTCGCACCCTCTACGGCTTCGGCGGCTAAATTCGGTTCTTGCTGCTACATCTTAGCGTTTTTATAACACAAAGGCTCTTTTCAGAGCCACCCACAAATATCATAAAAAGAGCTTTAAATCACTTACTCGGCATTTACTTGATTTCAGTTTTCGGGTTGGGAGGGAAAAGCATTTGTTTTTTCAGCTTTCCCCAAAGCTTACTCTGCTCTTTCCATGTTACGAGGGGGAAATTCGCGTTCAAGTAGGTGCGAGTAACCTAATCTTCACGCGGGGAAACAAAAGGAGAGCGTAGCGGGAGTAGCGCTTGACTAGGGGCTCTCGGAGCTCTGGGGAAATTAGCGTTCGGCAAATTCCGATCCTTTATTTCCTCCATTCTCTTTCACGCGGAGCGCCACCCCGTTAACCCAGACCCGTTTTCGAAAGGGCGAGGGACGGGGAAGACAAGCGAGAAAAAACAAAGGCGGTGGGGGGGGGGGGCAGGACCGAGACAACCGCCGGTGCCGTAGCCGCTCTCGCGCCACCAGTCGCGACAGCCGGGAAGGGGACGGGGAGCTCCTGAAATGGCGGCGCTCTTCTCTCTGCCGTTCGGTGGGCGGGACAGAGCGGGAAGAAGAAACAGCGCGGAGCACCCCTTGGCGCCCTAGGGACTGCGCGCCAAAGACTCTGCCAGCCCACCGCAGCGGGCTGCTCTAAAGCCCTCCCGCCCCTCCCCGCCCTGCTTTTGAGCCTGCCTGTGTTCTCTAGGCACCTCTCACGCTTACATCCACCACAGCACAGCCCCGTACACCCCGGCAGCTTTACACGGTGACCTGATCGATGACTGACACACACAGGGCACAAGGGGGATGGCAGGCCTGGACACTACGGAAGGCTCACATTCCCCCAGGTATCCCCGAATTGCCACTGCCTCGGGCACTGAAAAGTGCTTGCCATGGGCTGCCCGCGCCTGCTCCGTAACACAGAGACAACAGCTCTCTCCAGTGGAATTGTGGTGGCTCTTAAAAGAGCCTTTCGGTTTGAAGTACAAAGGGCAGGAGACTCAGGCGCGCTCACCGCGGATGCGGCGGGCCAGCTGGATGTCCTTGGGCATGATGGTGACGCGCTTGGCGTGGATGGCGCACAGGTTGGTGTCCTCGAAGAGCCCCACCAGGTAGGCCTCGCTGGCCTCCTGCAGCGCCATGACGGCCGAGCTCTGGAAGCGCAGGTCGGTCTTGAAGTCCTGCGCGATCTCGCGCACCAGCCGCTGGAAGGGCAGCTTGCGGATCAGCAGCTCCGTGGACTTCTGGTAGCGCCGGATCTCGCGCAGCGCCACCGTGCCGGGCCGGTAGCGGTGCGGCTTCTTGACGCCGCCCGTGGCCGGCGCGCTCTTGCGGGCAGCCTTGGTGGCCAGCTGCTTGCGGGGCGCCTTGCCGCCCGTCGACTTCCGCGCCGTCTGCTTCGTGCGCGCCATCGCAACTCGCCCTCTGTCCCACAGCAACAACACCGAATGACCCGACAATAACGTAGGAGACTGCTCCCACCTCAGTTTTATATCCGAGCGCTGCCTGTTGATTGGGCGATGGAAATGGCTGCCCTCAGGGGGCCGGTTTGAAAATCCCGCGTTAACCCCTTCTTATGTTGTGCCCTGCTCTTAAATACCTAACCCCAGCCAGCCGTTTCTCTTGATCTTCCCTTTCTATGAGTAGATGTTGCTACTTTTTATCCACTTGCCTTAATCAATTAAATTACTCTGCCACTTAAAGTGGGTAAAATAAAATACAATTTTCCAACAATTACCGAGAAGATAACATGTTTGTAACCAAGTTTGCTTACTGATATTTTATTCTCTATCTAAACTGGTTGCTTAGATTTGGTCATCCTATATTCCTATGGGAGGAGTAACAAAGGAATTGGGTGCTTTGTATGCATTCTGAAACTAAAAATTGCGTGGTGGGATATTTTTGGTTTTTTTTTTTTGTTTTCTTGGGGACTTTTTGGATGTTTGGGTTGGGTTTTATTATGTTTCGTTTGCTTGCTTAAAAGTTTGTTCTGTTCGGTGTGGGGTTTGGGCGGATTGTTGTTCTCTTAAGGTAAATCTTTATAAGTAACAACATTTCTTAAAATGTAAAGCCACAAATACCATTCTGAAACACCTTAGGAGAAAATAAATATTAGAAATAGACAGAATGCAAGTAATACATCAACAGATGCTGGTGTTTTTCTAAAAAAAAAGGAAACAACACAACATTTGTTTGGAACGACTGGAGCTCAGAGCGGCTTCAGTTGTAACCCAATTAAATTCGCCGCTTCTATGACCAATCAACGGCGGGGGGCGGGGCGGCCGTGCTCGATAAATGGCGCTGGAGGCAGCGCATTGCTACTGTCTCAGGGCGGTCCAAGCCGGTGTTTGTGATGGCGCGCACGAAGCAGACGGCGCGGAAGTCGACGGGCGGCAAGGCGCCCCGCAAGCAGCTGGCCACCAAGGCTGCCCGCAAGAGCGCGCCGGCCACGGGCGGCGTCAAGAAGCCGCACCGCTACCGGCCCGGCACGGTGGCGCTGCGCGAGATCCGGCGCTACCAGAAGTCCACGGAGCTGCTGATCCGCAAGCTGCCCTTCCAGCGGCTGGTGCGCGAGATCGCGCAGGACTTCAAGACCGACCTGCGCTTCCAGAGCTCGGCCGTCATGGCGCTGCAGGAGGCCAGCGAGGCCTACCTGGTGGGGCTCTTCGAGGACACCAACCTGTGCGCCATCCACGCCAAGCGCGTCACCATCATGCCCAAGGACATCCAGCTGGCCCGCCGCATCCGCGGCGAGCGCGCCTGAGCCTCCTGCCCTTTGTACTTCAAACCGAAAGGCTCTTTTAAGAGCCACCACAATTCCACTGGAGAGAGCTGTTGTCTCTGTGTTATGGAGCAGGCGCGGGCAGCCCATAGCAAGCACATTTCAGTGCCCGAGGCAGTGGCAATTCGGGGATACCCGGGGGAATGTGAGCCTTCCGTAGTGTCCAGGCCTGCCATCCCCCTTGTGCCCTGTGTGTGTCAGTCATCGATCAGGTCACCGTGTAAAGCTGCCGGGGTGTACGGGGCTGTGCTGTGGTGGATGTAAGCGTGAGAGGTGCCTAGAGAACACAGGCAGGCTCAAAAGCAGGGCGGGGAGGGGCGGGAGGGCTTTAGAGCAGCCCGCTGCGGTGGGCTGGCAGAGTCTTTGGCGCGCAGTCCCTAGGGCGCCAAGGGGTGCTCCGCGCTGTTTCTTCTTCCCGCTCTGTCCCGCCCACCGAACGGCAGAGAGAAGAGCGCCGCCATTTCAGGAGCTCCCCGTCCCCTTCCCGGCTGTCGCGACTGGTGGCGCGAGAGCGGCTACGGCACCGGCGGTTGTCTCGGTCCTGCCCCCCCCCCCCCACCGCCTTTGTTTTTTCTCGCTTGTCTTCCCCGTCCCTCGCCCTTTCGAAAACGGGTCTGGGTTAACGGGGTGGCGCTCCGCGTGAAAGAGAATGGAGGAAATAAAGGATCGGAATTTGCCGAACGCTAATTTCCCCAGAGCTCCGAGAGCCCCTAGTCAAGCGCTACTCCCGCTACGCTCTCCTTTTGTTTCCCCGCGTGAAGATTAGGTTACTCGCACCTACTTGAACGCGAATTTCCCCCTCGTAACATGGAAAGAGCAGAGTAAGCTTTGGGGAAAGCTGAAAAAACAAATGCTTTTCCCTCCCAACCCGAAAACTGAAATCAAGTAAATGCCGAGTAAGTGATTTAAAGCTCTTTTTATGATATTTGTGGGTGGCTCTGAAAAGAGCCTTTGTGTTATAAAAACGCTAAGATGTAGCAGCAAGAACCGAGTTTAGCCGCCGAAGCCGTAGAGGGTGCGACCCTGGCGCTTGAGGGCGTAGACCACGTCCATGGCCGTGACCGTCTTTCTCTTGGCGTGCTCCGTGTAGGTGACGGCGTCGCGGATCACGTTCTCCAGGAAGACCTTGAGCACGCCGCGCGTCTCCTCGTAGATGAGCCCCGAGATGCGCTTGACGCCGCCGCGCCGAGCCAGGCGGCGGATGGCGGGCTTGGTGATGCCCTGGATGTTGTCGCGCAGCACCTTGCGGTGGCGCTTGGCACCGCCCTTGCCGAGCCCCTTGCCGCCCTTGCCCCGGCCAGACATGATGCAGCACTCACAGTCCGCGGCTCAATGCGCTTGAAACGGCCTCTCGGCTTATTATATGGGCGGCGGTCCGACCTGGTTGGGGACTGCAGAGAGAGGCGGGGTCTCATGCCCGGTCCCCGCCCCGTGCCCCTCTCCTCGCCGCCGGCCCTGCGCGGCTCCGCTCGTGCTTCCCGCGAGACGCGGCCGCGTCGCTTTCGCAGCTGTGTCCCTTGGACGCGCCCGGCTGCTCCGCCTCTCCTGAGCGGGTCTGGCCTCGGCCCGCGCTTCTAGCCATGGCATCACAGAATTTTCTGAGAAGGGCCCTCAAGAATCATCAAGCCCGAGTCTTAAGTGGTTTGTTCATACAGAGATTGAACGTACAATACTGCCCTTTTTAGTACCGGGTACTAACCAACTGAGTTAATGTCGGGCTGCATACATTGTCCCTGCCCGCTCTCACCCCGCGCGTCCCTTTGGGGCTTTCCTGTCCCGCCCCGCTGCCCCCTGTGCTGGTGACAGCTCCACGGCAGCTCTGGGTCTATGTCAGTAGCTAGAGCGCGGCCTGCGACCCCCGGCTCGCCTTTCAGGCTGCGGCGCCCCTTCCTCGTCCCTCCCCGCGGGTCTGCGGCAAAATCCGACCAATGCGGGGCCTCGCTCGGCGCTCCCGCCTCCCCCCGCCGCTCTTCCCCCTCCCGCTCGCGGGGATCCCGGCGGAGCCGTCTTTCCCGGGCCGCGCCGTCTTTGTTCGCTTCGGCCATGGCGGCTTCGCGTATTTTTTGTCTACCCGGACACTCCCACAGCTGCCCCCTCCTCCGCGGGGCGCTGGGGTCAGGGCACGGAGCGCTCCGCGCTTTCATGTTCGCACGCTTTCATGTCGACTGCAGGTCGGTGCGAGGGGGAGCAGGGAGAAATGGTCAGTGAGGGGCTGCAGTGGGAAGCGTTTAGACCGGAGAGTCCCCGGAGGCAGTCCGGAGGGGCTGTTTGAGAGCGCGGAAGGGACCGCCAGTCCCAGCCCCGCCCAGAGGTCGCAGGGCTGCGCTGGCCTCAGGGCTCGGGCTCGCTCCCGGCACTGCCGGCCTCGGGAAGAAGTATCCGCTGCCGGCCACTGAGATCCCGCAAGCGAAAGAAAGAATTACGGATATCACAAACAGCTGTCTGTATGACACCTGAAGAATGAACACTAGCGAAACAATTTTTATTCCAATGAGGAATCCAGAATTTTTTTTTCTGTCTGTTTCATGCTTTTGCAGAAAACATGTCATACATGCTGCTTACAGTATGTTGGACTGTATTTGTCAAGTAATTGAATAAATACTGACTTATGAGACTGTACTTTAAATGAAATCTGTTAAGGTTTTAAATATTACTTGCACTGAATATAGCTGATATGCCTAAGGTGCTTGCCAATTCTTCTATTATTATTTTATGTCTGTTACATGGCTACTGCTATAAAATTTTTCATATCCTTTAGAAATGGTGCAGTTATTTATTTAAAGTTATTCCTTAATATAATGTAGAGAACGTCAGCAATATCTCCAAAATATTTCTGGGGATAAAATATTACCTAGATTCAGGTGAAATGCAATTGAGATAGTCATGCCTTCAGTTACAGATGACAAAAGGGTACAAATCCTATTTTAAGTATCGCTGTGAATTCCTTTTTCTTTCAAATATAAAGAATTACCAATCATATATACAGCATAAGAAGGAAAATATATCTTTAATTTAGATTAGGATTGCTTTTTCAACTGACCAGAATGAACTAAGACTGTCTATAGACTAACTGGAAGATATGTCAGTAGTGGGCCTGCCAGGCTGGTGCCTAACATTCCCTTTTGGCTCTACGAAGTCTGCTTTGTTCTTTATATCTGAAAATCTGTGTCTAGCTATGTTTCCTGAGGCAGTTAGAAACAGCATTCTGATTACTTAAGAAACCTGAAAGAAATTATGCAAAATCTTTTGGTATGTCAAAATAATAATTTATTCCTAAAGCTTCCTAAACGCAGATTGAGGATCCTAGTAAACCTTTTCCTTTCAGCAGTGTAAGTACTGCTTGGAAAATCCCTTTCCATTTCTGCCAGAGATGGGTGATGGAGAGGCTGAGACCAGACTTTAAGCTTAAAGTAAATAAAACAGCTGCAAACCCCTTTCCTCAATAGGTCTAGTACATTAGATATAATTTAATATCATGCCTTCTAGAAGGCTGCCTTGCCTATGTGTTGCTGTAAGTGTGTATGGACATGTTTCACAGGTGTGTCTGTTAGGGATATACATACAGTTCTTTTATGGATAATAGCACTTTCTTAAAAAAAAAATTAAAAAGAGAAGAGAAGAAAGAAAATTTTGCTGCTGAATAAAATCCCTAGTAAAGTTATTTCTGTTGTTAAGGTTTTTTTATCAAAGTTTAGCTTCCAATCCACATGTTAGAGATACCTCATTTTCCTCATGAATTTGGGCACACTGCAGTAGGGTTAAATGAGAAAGGAAACCTTTGAAAACTCAGCTTAGTTTAAAAAAATAAAAATCTGTAGCTTTTCAAGAGTGCATTAATTAGGACAGTTACCCTAGTTCCTCATTAAACTATAATGAGAAAACTGCATTTGTTTATTACAATAAGGCAACATCTCACTATGACTGCACAAGAGGGTACTGCACAAGAGGGTAATTAGCAAAAAAAGAATTGCATCAGTGTATTGTAACCAACTTCAAAGCTGCTCATAATTTTCTTAAGAGATTGTGTGGCAATTTAAATCCATATCTGTATCTGCTACAACTGTCACAATACGTATAATAATGTGCAAACTAAAGTAATGTAAGAGCTGTATAATAGGTACATTTTTCCTAGCATTGCAAACAATATAGATGAAACAGGGTAGAAAAGCTCTTTGAATATTTAACCATGCAGTTTTAAGTCTTTTGATATACAGACTGACATTACTGAGTTATCCACAGGCATAACTATGATCTATAGTATTTCAGGGACTTTGGTTGAAGGTTTGGATTTTTTTTTTTTGTCACTAATTCTTTAGAATGTGAAGGTGCATTGCAACACAATGACACAGCTGAGGTACCATGTGATATGGATTTCCTCTTTCCTACTGCTTCTTGCATTTGCAAATAAGATAAATTCATTTATTTAAACTTGCTTAGCTGCATTCCTTCATCCACTGGAATTTGCCTGAAAGCCGTTTTTAACAACAGGAGATTTTCCAGCTCTCCTACTGTTTAATCCATCTGATTTACTGGACTTTTATATTGGAAACCTCATCACTGGTGATGGCGACACCAGGTTAACAACTGGTGAAACTGGTTAAGACAAATCCGGGGAGTCTTAAGGAGTGGATCTAAGCATGACAGAGGATGAAACTCCAGGTACTGAGTTGAGAAGACTAATGAGTATAATAAGTGTTTGGAATGAAATTCTGAAGCAAATAATAAATTTCTGGTCAGGTGACAGAAAGAATTTGAAGGGATACACTAGGCTTAGCTCCACACTCAGAGGATGGGGCCCTCTCTTGTGCTATCAGCTCTGACCTCCACATGCAGGAGTTTGTCCACAGAGAAAGCCAACTCCTGCTTAGATATCTCTACCCCACAGCCTTTTTCTGGAATTCCAGTGCTTTGATTTAGAGATACACACTTGTGGCCCAGAAAGCCCATTCTAATGAGGGGTGCAACAAATGCAGCCTGAACTGAAGGTCAAGGCAGGTGGTCCTCCTGTTCCACTCAGCTCTCCTGAGACCCCACCTAGAGTGCTGTATGCAGCTCTGTGGTCTTCTGGCATAAGAAAAGACATGAATATGGCACAGCAGGTCCAGAGAGGGCCACAGAAATTATCAGAGGGCTAGGTAACCTTTCCTGTGAAGAAAGGCTGAGAGAGTTGCAGTTGTCTGGCCAGGAGAAAAACAGGTTCTGAGGAAATCCTATAGCAGCCTTTCAATAGAGAAGGCTTCTTTTCAGGCCTGTAGGGATAGGAGGAAGGACAATGATTTCACATTTAGATTGCACATAAGTAAGGCATTTTTTTGCAAGGAGGCTTGTAGGACACTGAACAAGGTTGTCCAGAGAAAATGGGGATGCCTCATTCCTAGAGGATTCCTAGAGTCAGGCAGGACGAGGCTCTGAACAGCCTGGGCTAGTGAAAGGTGACCCTGCCCACAAGCAGGGGTTTTGGATGAGATAAACTTTAATGGTCCCTTCCAACCAAAACCATTCTGAGATTAAAATTTTCTGAAAAACACATATGTAGAAATTTCTTATGGAAACTATGTATAGAAGACTCATGCATGTTAAATTTTAATTACCATTGTAGTTTTTAAAGAAGAGTAAGGGCCAGAGATATTTAGCAGTAGCAAATGATCAATAAAACAGCATAATAAAACCACTACAACCCTAAACATGTCCACTTAAAAACAAAACCTTTAGACACAGACACCATCACTGTAAAATATTAGTCTGGTGCACCAGCAGCTCTCTTTATATTTCTCTCCACAAATGATCCCTGATGCCCTGCTTTGGCCATGGCACAATGCTGCCTAAAAAGCCTCTCTGCTACCGCTTGGGGATGGTTCCCCAAGCCCAGAGCACTCCTCCTTCTCTCCAGGGGATGGAAAGAGCAGAGGTGCAGCAAAGATGAGACCAATCACCTCAGGGCAGTGTGCTACAGATCATCAGATGAGGCTTCTGGGACTATCCTAGCAAGAGGAATCAGCCAGATATTTTTTCTCATAATTTATAATAATGATTATGAAGAGATTTAAGGTTGTGCTCTGGGGTGATGTTTGTGCCAACAATATAGAAAACTCATTACCCACTGTCAATTGATGCAACAAGAGGAGCAGCAATGAACAGTGAGAAAAGTTATGAGTAGAAAGTTTGAAAATGCCTCTTAAAATGGGAACATACTACCACTATAAGGTGCTCCTGAATGAGTGTTACACTGCTACTTTAGAGTGCAGGTCTGACTAAGTTCAGATATAGCCCAAATGCCATCTTTGCTAAGGCATTCCTGATTTTATTTCTACATGTATTTAACACATAGGAACTTAGCATCTTTTAAAGAACAATGGCCTTTAAAGGAAATGAAGAAATCCTTTTTCCATTGTTAGATGTAGCTACATCAGGGGTTTAGGATGGTCTCCTATTTATCTTCATGCTGCATAGCTTTTGCCCACCCGTGCTTCAAACACCATCCTGTATTCTATACCCTAAGTAAGCTGTAGAACCATGAAAGGTGAGCAGAATCCCGAAGCACCAGCTCCTTACTGAGTGTTACAATGAAAAAAATGAAACAATAAATAGTTATAAAAATATTAACATTCATTTAGAAACACGGGTTGAAAAGCAAATTTATCAGCCCTCTTCAGTAGAAACAAAGTTTTAAAACACCACAACACAAATTCGTATGAGTAAATTTAGTACAATTGAAGACTCCACATCAGAGCACCTTTGTAAAGAAAGCAACACAACTCTTTTCTGACTACGTGGGTGGCTCTGAAAAGAGCCTTTTGTTGAAAATTTTATGTCGTGCAAAGTCTGAGTAGCTTTGCTCGCCAGATTTATTTGCTTTTAGCTTTATGGCTCTCAGTCTTCTTGGGCAGCAGCACGGCCTGGATGTTGGGCAGCACGCCGCCCTGCGCGATCGTCACCTTGCCCAGCAGCTTGTTGAGCTCCTCGTCGTTGCGGATGGCGAGCTGCAGGTGGCGGGGGATGATGCGCGTCTTCTTGTTGTCGCGGGCCGCGTTGCCCGCCAGCTCCAGGATCTCGGCCGTCAGGTACTCCAGCACGGCCGCCATGTAGACGGGAGCTCCGGCACCCACGCGCTCCGCGTAGTTACCTTTTCGGAGAAGCCGATGGACACGACCGACAGGGAACTGCAGCCCGGCCCGCGACGAGCGCGACTTGGCTTTAGCTCGGACCTTGCCTCCCTGTTTCCCGCGGCCGGACATGCCGGAAGCACTGACTGGAGCACAGACTGGACACGGACGGGAACCAAGACAATCATACTGACGCAAGCGCCGCTCCCCTTTTATCCCTTCCCTGGGCGGGTGAGCCCGCGGAGATTGGCTGGAACCGGGTGCTGCCGACAGAACCAATGAGCGGACGGATCGTGTTGTGACCAATCGGCGCCGAAGACGCGCCAGGTACGGGAAGGTCCAATGGCATTGCAGGGTGCTGATGCTTTAATTTGCATACCAGTCGGTATAAATAGCGGGCGCTGCGGCCATTTTGTGTGCTGAGCTTTCTCCGGGTGGAAAAGCGCTGCCAAGATGCCCGAGCCGGCCAAGTCCGCCCCCGCGCCCAAGAAGGGCTCCAAGAAGGCGGTGACCAAGACGCAGAAGAAGGGCGACAAGAAGCGCAAGAAGAGCCGCAAGGAGAGCTACTCCATCTACGTGTACAAGGTGCTGAAGCAGGTGCACCCCGACACGGGCATCTCGTCCAAGGCCATGGGCATCATGAACTCCTTCGTCAACGACATCTTCGAGCGCATCGCGGGTGAGGCGTCGCGCCTGGCGCACTACAACAAGCGCTCCACCATCACCTCGCGGGAGATCCAGACGGCCGTGCGCCTGCTGCTGCCCGGCGAGCTGGCCAAGCACGCCGTGTCCGAGGGCACCAAGGCTGTCACCAAGTACACCAGCTCCAAGTAAGGAGTTTCGGATCGTCACTTAACCCAAAGGCTCTTTTAAGAGCCACCCACTTTTTCAATAAAAGAGCTGTTTCACGGTAGTGTCTGGGTCTTGGGTATGGAAATACAACTAAAAAAGTGGTAGGTAGAATTTTATACAAATATTTAGTCCACTACTTAGTCTTGTAATAATAATTACAAAGTTCTTGAATATTTATTTTAAGTTAGAGGTAGTTCAAATGTAGTCACTATTCTTAAATGAAAACGTTTAAATAGTTTTTAAATAAATGGAAACAGTTTTTTAACAGCAAAAACAAGAGACAATATAATATGATCTATGCAAATTAAAAGTTTCACAGTTAAATTAGCAAACATGCTTCACGAAAGTAAAAACAACATTTAATTTTTATGAAAAGGCGGAAGGAGATATACTCGATCCTCTATCTTTTGTACTGATGCTTCGGAATTTTCTCAAGCTAAAACATTTTGCCTTGTGTATGAGAAGACAAGGATTACAGGCCTGGGGGAAGGGACCCCTGAAAGGGGTAGACGCTTTAGGGGATGAGATCTCACGGAACGCGGGGGCCCGGGAGCACGGGTAGGCTCGGATCCAGCGCGGGTAGCGCTCCGTGCCCCCCTCCTTTTCTCCCTTTTTCCAGCCCATCCCCTCCCCCCTTCCCCTGCAGCGCGGGCTTTTCCAAATTTCCCAGCGGCCCAATGAGCGGCTGCGGCTTCTCCCATCAGCCAATCGCAGGCGGCGCCGGGCAGCCCCCGGCTCTGCGCAGAGCTCCGCGCCGCTCCGCCTCTGCGCTGCCGCCCGGGGGCTCGGGACCACTGCCCGGCCGCGCTCCCGCCGCCAGCCCGGCGGGGTGCGGAGAGGAACGCCGCTGACTCCTGCCCGCCTCCCGCCCCGGCAATCGCCTCCTCGAAAAAAGTAGGTCGGTCAAATCACGCAGAAATTAAGACCTGCCCCACGCCAGCGCTGGCAAGCGGAAAGGTCATTGCCAAGGAAGCGGAGGAGCCGTGCTGACAGTTCCCGGCTACGGTCACTAAGAGGTGTGGCAGTCGCATCCGTGCTGTTAGGAATCGCGCTGATTTAGAGCAACGAAAGGAACCTCCACGCCCCAGAAAGGTACCCGCCCTTAAGCAGTCCCTTTAACATCTACACCCACTTGCGGTGCTCACAAAAAAAAAAAAAAAAAAAAAAAAAAAAAAAAAAAAAAGCAGCCTTTAGAAAGCGTTTTCGCCGGGAATGTAAACTTTTATTTTTCCAAGTCTTAGTATAAAACCACGGCCGTAAGTTTAGCGTCCCATCCACTCCACAGACGAAAGTCCCACACGGATAGTGGCAAATAGTTGGCTGTGCTACAGGCACGGAGCTCAGCGACGGAGTGTATCAGCCCTTTTGGGGACAATAGTGGGTGGCTCTTAAAAGAGCCGTTGGGTTTAAAAGTATTTCCACTTCAACACTTCATTTCTTCGGCGCTGCCTTCTTTGCCTTGGCTGTTTTAGGCTTGGCCGCCTTGGGCTTGGCCGCTTTGGGCTTCACCGCTTTCGCCTTAGCCGGGCTCTTCGCTGCTGCCGCCGCTTTTTTGGGCTTGGCGGCCTTTGTTGCCTTCTTGGGGCTCTTTGCTGCTTTCTTGGCTGCGGCGGCCGCTGGCTTCTTGGCTTTTTTGGGGCTCTTCTTCACCGCTGCAGCCTTCTTCGGCTTTTTGGCGGCGCTGGCGGGCTTCTTCGCCGCCGGCTTCTTGGGCTTGGCTGCAGCTGTTCTCTTCTTCGGGGCCTTTTCTTTCACTTCTCCGGGTTTCTTGCTGAGTCGGAAAGAGCCGGAGGCGCCGGTGCCCTTGGTCTGCACCAGGGTGCCCTTGCTGACGAGGCTCTTGAGCCCCAGCTTGATGCGGCTGTTGTTCTTCTCCACATCGTAGCCGCCGGCGGCCAGCGCCTTCTTGAGCGCGGCGAGGGAGAGCCCCTTGCGCTCCTTGGAGGCGGACACGGCCTTGGTGATCAGCTCGGTGACGCTGGGCCCCGCGGGCTTGCGGGCTTTGGAGCCGCTCGCCGCCTTCTTCGGCTTCTTGGCGGCGGCCTTGGCGGCGGGGGCCGCGACAGCGGGAGCGGCGGCGGGAGCGGTCTCCGACATCGCTGCAGAGACTTCTTCCTAATCAAAAGAAAGTAATTGGGCTACAGTAACCCCGATGCCTGAATTTATAGCGAAGCGGTGATCTGTGATTGGTGCTTTGCAGAGCCCGCCTAACTGTTAGCCAGGAAGAGCTTTTCCTCCTCCGAGTCTGTGTTTCTTCGCAGTTATAAATTCATATTTTTCGTAAAACCAGTGTCGCGAAATCACCCCAGTTTCTTCGGGGAGTGAAGAGAAGACGGTGGACTTTCATTCGGGCAAGTTTCTTGCTGTTTGGACCACAGATGGGAGAGAAAAGCTCTTTTAAACCCTGCGTTGTGAAGCCAGAAAGACCCCGGGAACGGCAAACTTTTGTTTTTCCTTCTAAATTAAAATAAAACACGTAGATAAAAAGTCTCCCCCGTAATGCAGGCTTACTCTCTGGGGGGTTTTCTTCAGATTGGGACAGAAACTGAGTGATCAGCTTGAGTATTTTTGTCGTAAATTGGTTTCAAAGACAAGGAAGTAACACAATTTCACGGCTAAGCTTTGAATATGGATAAAGATTCGGCTCTCTTAACCATATCTTTAACTATTAAGGATACGGTATTTCAACATATTTTCTTGTTTGGGGAAAGGAAGAGACCTTAAGAGGAATATATATATTGTTGAAAAGTGTTTGGAACTTGCCAGGGCTATGCTTTTTGTTGTTGGGGTTTTTTTTTGTGTTGTTTTGTTTTGTTTTGTGTGTGGTGCTTTATAAGTGGATAGAAAGATTTTAATATTTTTACAAGTAGTCTGTCAGTAAAATGAAGCTGTTAATTCCTAGATAATGCCTGGAAATCCCAGATAAACGGCTAGTTTAACACTATTTCTGTTACAACAGTGGATGCTATTCTTTATGACTTACAAACATCAGAGGCAGACTTGGAGAGGAAAAATGTCTAACAGGTATAGATACACTAATATGTATTATATGCATCTTAAACAATCATGCAGCTAGCTGAAGCGTCAGTTATCATCCAATAAATTAAATACTGGGGAAATATGGCCTTCATGAACAGAATGCTTCAGTTTCAGTATAACTTACAAATATTTGGATACTGACTCTTGTGGTTTGTGGGGGGTTTATCTTTGTTTTCTTGTTTTGTTGGGTGTTTTAAATAGGTTTCATATTCCTCCAGTTATTTTCTTTAAAGGAAAAGAAAAAAAACTCACTTTTGAGGTTTCCATCCCAAGCATAAGAAAACAGAAATAATTTTTAGACAATCCTCATAAATCAGAATCAGTTTTAATGATCATAAACCTGCTTAATTATAGAGTATGATAAAGTGACCACAGAAATTAATTAAAACTTTTAAGGACTGCAATGAATTATTTGAGCTATTTTTTTTATCAAGTAAGAAGACAAAAACCTCGATTGGTTTCTAATTAAAAAGCAGCCAGATTTTTTTTCCCCTTGGTTTGAAAGAACATGTAAAGATCAAACTTAATATTTTACCACATTGTAAAAAATTGTCATGCAAAATATCAGTGGGTTATTTCAACAAAAGAACATCTTTTCTAGCCTGGATAAATTTTAGATTAAAGATGATATGAGGTATGTTACAAAAGGCCCTGACATCCTGACATCCTGTATTTTGATACATTGAGTATTGAAGACACAAAGTTATATTTAATACCAAGAAGCTTTGATTTAAATAAGATAAATTAGAATGATAACGGTACAGTAGATACATTAAAATTACAAATGAAAACAATAAACTGTGGCTGTTCCATATTCTCTTTTATTTCTGTTTTTATTTTGTTGTGCTTGCATGCAAGTGAGGTAATAAATACTCTGAAGGAGAGAAACTCTAAGTGGAGATTGGAAAAGATTAAGCTTGTGAGTACTCCACAGTAAAAAATAAAGGAATATGAATAAAGAATAAATGAAATGTTGAAGTGGGCTGTGAGATATGACATGCCTCTCATGAACATGACATTGATCCCACATAAACCACTTGACCAAGTCCACAGTAGCCATAGATTTTGAAAGTTCAGTGTGGCAAGTCATGTGAACAGTATGAATACGTTTGAGAGGTAAAAATGTATTTGGTTTGGTAAAATGAGAGCATTACGCATATTTTCCAGTCTAGATGAACAAAGAAAAAGCAGAATCTGACTGTAAGTGATACAAAAGGGAGCAGGGAAGTGTTGTCATCTGTCCGGGTCTGTTTAATATGATACACGTTTTCAGAGAATAAAGGCTGCACGACGGTAACGTGCTTTAATCCCTGCAGCTTTGACAGTTTGGTGTTAGAGCTCTGTGACTGATTTATTACACTTGAAACTGGGCAAGAAACCGGGAGCAACAGGGAGTGGACAATGGCCGCTCCTACAAGAATGCAGCTGTAGCCCCAGGGGTGCATCCTCTTTGCACCTCCCTCACATTCACACGTTTGAGCTTCAAGCCCGCTTTCAGTAAACCTGTTCTCAGCCCATCAGGAGAGGAGAGGTTTCCTTCCCTTCCCCCACGAACAGACCGGAGGTTAGAGATAAAGGGACAAGATAGAAAGTGATGGGAGATCTTAGATCTTCCTCCCTAAGCAGCGCAGTCCTCAGAACTCCACCTGCAGCAGACAGGGATTGCTGTCCCTACCCTGTGCTAAGTTTTAAAGGCACAGGAACGTTTCTGGGTGGTTTGGGGGTTTCTCTCTTTGGTTCCTTCTCTTTTGTTTTTGTAAGGAAAGCATGTGAAGAAGATTGTGAAGGTTGTAATCTAAAGTATTTCAAGGGTAGAATGTAGGACTTCTCTCACTTTTAGTTCTGGGTGCATCCCTGTAAATCCCTCGTGTTCCCTGCTCCCTGTTTGGAGTTGCACTTCTGAATTCCTTTGCTTTTTCCTAGTAGCCTGAGATTGGAAGTCTTGGCAGCTGGCCTCCGGCATTGTGTGTCAACATCCTTTATTGTATCTTTTCCTTAACCATCACACTGGCTCTTATCTGTGGACAATTATCCCTGGCCTACTTCTGAGAAGACAAAATGTTCCTGTTCTCATCATCCATTTCTGTAGAAGATTGTTTTGTTTTGGTTTTTTTAGGGGTTTTTTGTTTGTTTGTTTGTTTTTTGTTTTTTTTTTTTTTTTAATGTGTGTTAATAAAGAGAGGGGATTTAGAAATATGAGGTGGTGTGAGAAGGGAAGACTTTTAGGGCTTATTCCTGCACTCTGGGCCAAGCAACGACATTTTCTACTTAATTGGGTAAAATAAACTTGTCAATTGCTTTGAGCAATTTTCAAGTTTGCGCTGCTGGAAATAGCTGTTAAATGTAACACTGAACCACAGAACCACAGAAAATTCTCGTATTTTAGAGACTGATCATTACAAATAGCATTGACATTTCCTTAGTGTTATACTGATAAGAGGAAAAAATACAAAGCAAAGCAAGCATCTGAGCATATAATTTATCAAATCAGTGGTACATTAGGGAACAATTTTTTAATCAGACATAGAAATTTTCTTTGTGTCAACAAAATTACTTGAAAATAAAAAAAAAAGTTTTGAGAGTGAGCTGGTAATAAAAATTGTTTGCATTTCCTATGTGAAGAGATGATATTTAAATGTGACTCATTTAATACTTAATTAAACAGCAAACATTTTTTCAGTATTCTCCCAGATTTCCTTTCTTAGCACCCTGTGCAATTGTCTCTGTTCATCTCTTACTGAGGAACTCAAACTTTTTTGCCCTCTTTAAATGTGCACCCAAAACATGGCCTCACTCCCTTGCACCATCACACACATGCCCAGATTCCCTTGCTTAGCTGTGTAGGTGCTACTGCAGATTACAGAGGAACCTACAAAATGACAAAGTATTTTCAAATGCAGGGATCTTCAAAACAAAAATAGTTCATATATAATGTAAAAATTCCTAAGACTGTATAGTAGAGAAAATACTTAACTTTTCTTCTTGTCAAGAAAGAAGCTTCTCAAGGAGGAAAAACCTTAGACAGATAAAGGCAAATAAGACATCCAGACTGCAAGAGGAGAGCACTCCAGATAAGCTGATTAGACAAATTTAGCTGAAAACCTACACTCACGTAATTACAATTACTAGAGTTAGGGCAGGGAAGATACAAAGAAAATTACAACTTTTAACTGAAGCATGCTGTCTTCCTAATAAATAGTAATTTTGCAGTTGCTCAAGTAATCAGTCTCAATATTAGTAATAAAAACACCATTACAAGATCAAAGGACATTAGTCAAGTTTCTGTCATGCTGAAACTATATTGACAATACTGGTTCAGCAACTGCAAACTTTAAATGTAGGGAAGATTCAAGGTTTCAAGGAGTTTCAGTAGTAAAGAAGACTACATCCTTTTAGTTATACTTCACCTAAGCTAACAAAAATATATGGACAGTTATTTCAGCATTAGGACAATCAAATCTCCTAAAAAAAGTATCTCATCTTTTAATCTAACACCTAATGCAGTAGGTCCTGAGCATGCTCAAAGAAGGATCAGGTAGAGCAGAGGGATGCAAAATCCTTTATGAGGACCACATTCCAAAATATTATTTTTTGCATTTAAATAGAATTGCCTGTGTTTCAGTTTGTGCCCATTGCCTCTTTTCCTGGGCAGTACTATAGAAAACTGGATCTTTGACATCTATTCCTCCCACAGGACATCTGAACACATTAATAAGACTCCTCACATGAGAGATGCTCCAGTCCCTTCATCATCTTTGCGGCCCTTCACTGGTCCCACTCCAGTTCTGTTCACGTTTCTTTTGCACTGGGAAGGCCAAAACTGGACACAGCACTCCAGTTTCTCTCACCAGTGATGAGTGGAGGGAAACAATTATTTCCTTTGGTACCATTTTGCACATAGTCCTTCTCCAGGATAATTTTTGAAGCCCATGTATATATTAACCCTGAATGACACTCCCACAATGCTTTAAATTTTGGCAGTTCAATATAGACAGCTTCAAAAACCACTTTAACACCTCACACAGTCCTTACAAGGCTTGTCAAAATGAATTTGAGCAACCCTGATTTGACTCGGTGCTCACATTGTATGTGACTG